TTTTTTTTGTTTTCTGCAAATCAAATTCATATTCCAGGTAGGTTCATTTCATGCTAGAAAAAAAGATGATGACGATGATTCACACTCCTTAACAATGTATATTGTATAATTTTCTTTGAATAAACGTTATACATAAAATACAGTAGTACCTCAGGATACGAAATTAATCTGTTTCGACACTGAGATCGTATCATGAAAATGTCGTAAGGTGAATCATTTTTCCCCATACAATTACATGTAAAACCAAATAATTCGTTCCAACACGAAAAACACACTCAAATTAAAGCTAAGTAATACATTAAAAAATAATGATAATAACTATAGTAAGGAAAACACTGAAAAATGCATTTTGTAGTTGTAAATGTATAAATAACCATAATAGAATAATAATTGATAAAAAAAAAATGTAGTTTTATTTGCACTTTACCTTTGAGGATAGACGACAGTGAAGGTGTAAACTGGTGGCAGAAGAGAGGGAGAAGGGAAATGATATTAAAACTTAACTTATGTAACATAATGTAACAATAACTTAAAAATAACTTAGAAAAGATAAAAAAATTAGTGTTGTTTTATATTTTCTTTTTTTTTTTAATTTTTATTCACTGCTTTTTGCTTTCTTTCCTTCACTTCCACCAGCACTTTCACTGGATAGAGGTTGCTTGGTAAAATATCTATCCAAAGAGGTTTGGCTTTGCCTACTTTTTAAAATGTTTCTAAAATGGCTTAGGCAAATGTCATTACTCCAAGCAGCAATATGGCCAGTGTGAACCTTTTCAGGATGTTTCTTATTAATAAAATCACTCACTTTCTGATAATACCTCAAGATTTCTTTTACCGAGAGAGATCCTTCCACGACGAAGCAAACACGTGGACTGAGAACAATAAACAGAAGTGAAATAAAAAATGGCGCTGCGAACTAATGTAATGTCGTATGGTGAGTTTTTGTTTGTATCGTGGAGCAAAAATATGTTCGAATTTCATGTTGTATCCTGAAAATTTTGTATGCTGGGGCGTTCGTATCCTGAGGTACCACGGTACAGTAACATGTATATTTATTTGGTTCTGATGTGTAAAATTAACGGATTGTTTAATAAACTGAATTTAATGTTGAAATTTTCTACATAGATTTAAAAATGGAGGATTACACTAGTTTTTTGTACATATTCTAAATGTGTTATAATAAATACATACTTTATTAACAATAAACTTAAACACGACATAAATGATTTAATAAGCATTTGTATCAATTAGAAAGTTCAGACTATTTATGAAAAATTTTTTAATTTTTGAGTCTATCTATTAATCCATTAACACAACCACAGAAGTACCTGTAACATTGGTTTGAAGAAAAACTTCAATAAAAACAAATAATAAATAGGTAAAAACTCACAATATTAAAAATGATCAAAACGTCAGCCTTTTATTTGAGGTTCTGACGTCTTTTACATTAAAAACAACAAGTAAGTCTTCTCACCATACCATCAAGTAGTTATCCAATTTTTATCAGGTTCAAGCCCTCTGGTGGTTGATAAAAGTCATCTTTACATTTGCATAGACACAATTTCATGGTGAATTCTAATTGGAATTAAATTGAATTTGGGAACTGCGAACAATGGACTTATTCTTCTAATTGGAAGAATATATCCTGAGTTCACCATGAAATTGTGTCTATAAGCATTTGTATGTTGTTTGATTACATAATAAGAGTAATTTGCTTCTTTTTCACATCTCCAGAGAAGTTATACAGCATTTAATCTTTTGAATTGAAAGAATTAAAATTAATATACTATATATGTGCAAATGAATAATGATGTTTATAATGTTTACTAATGTGATTGCTGAAATTTCATAAGTAAAATTAAGTTTATCTGTTTAAGTTATAAATATAACTTAAATGGAAATGCTAAGTTTTAAATATGTAAGAAATATTTAACTTAAAAATTTGGAAAATGTCCTTATAATTTGTGTGATTGAAAAAGTGCTACCTAATGAAGGATGTAATGAGAGAGTATATAATGATTTTGTTTATATTTAGGAATTTTCTGAGATATAACAGATAATAATTTTGGTTGTGAATCTATCATTAGCATATAGCATTGAAAATACAGTTAACTATTCATCTTACATATATAACAAATTAAACTAATAAATTACATATTTATTTTTTATTTAAAGTAACAGCCATAAAATTTATATTAATTTTATGATAATCATCATTTTCAATTTAATCTAAAGTATTCACATGAATAGAGCAAATGTAATGTTTTAGTTATCTTTTAATTGCTAATTTAATTATGTATGTATTATTTTTATGCATTATTGTTGTCATAAAATATATATTTGAATTTATTTTTATTTATTTATTATCAGCATTCAAGTTCGTGGAATGGCAACACTTAAAGATAGTAAGTCACATTTATAAAACTTTGATACATAAAATTTTTAATAACATTGTAAACATAAATTATAAAGTACAGTGGAATCTCACTTAATGAGCATAATTCGTTCCAGAATCTTACTCGTAATTTGAAACACTCATTAAGTGAAACAATTTTTTTCATATAAATTAATGTAAAATACAATAATGCATTCCACACTGAAAAAATACTCAAATATTTTATGTATAACATTTATTCAAAGAAAATTATACAATATACATTGTTAAAGAGCGTGAATCATGTTCATCTTTTCTTCTAGCATGGAACGAACCAACCTGGAATGCGAATTCGATTTGACGAGAACAAAAAAAAATTTAAATAATATGCTTGATAAACATGCCAAAGGATATGCCAAACTTTTGGGCTATATAAAAGCTATAATTAAATATAGAAATTAATTAATTAATTTGACTAGAGGTAGGCAATTATGCTGCCATCTTGTATTAAATTTAATAATTATAAATAATTAATTTTTAATTTACAAGGAGAGCCTACGGCTTTGGGGTAACGGATTTTGATGATCTTTGGTTTAGAGGTAGTACACCATGTGAGTGTACTACCTGTAAAATACTAAAGTGCAATACTCAAATATAATCAAGAAAATCGAACTTAAACTTTTGTTAGCACTTTATATATAAATTATACGTATTTCTATTCGAGCGTCCTGCGGCAGAGTGGTAACGAGTCCGATTCATAAGCTTGAGTTCTCGGGTTCGATTCTCGCGTATGATTTTTTTTTTAAATTTATAAATACTTATAATGTATTTATTTATTTACTCATTCATTTCTTTCTTATTATTTATTTATTTTAATTTAATTTCTACTATTCCAAGTCTAATATTTTTATACTTTTGTTGACAATAACGGCGCATTCTTGACACCTATGTGTCAACTTTCCCATCTAATTGTTATCACTAACGGTGACCGATCTAATTCTCACTAGGAGCGTTTTTCTATCAGAGTTCTTTTTCACTCACTCTTTAACAGTTCGTTTCTAAATTTCGACACGAATAGACGTATTTGTGTAGTAAAACTTATTTTGAAAAATTATTTTATAATCAAAAAATGTCGTCAAGAGAAGCAAGTTCTTCACGTTGTGACGAAAAAACTGTTGATGATAACTCTTTATACAGTGATGTATCAAAGCAGCATAGTGAAGTAAAATACTAAAGTGCAAAACTCAAATATAACCAAGAAAAACGAATATAATTTATTGAAGCAATATTATATAATTACATATCATTGTCAGATGTACATGATCGTGAATGATACTTATGATAAAAACATTCAAAACAAAAATTCTGTCTACACCAAGAACAACAAATAAATGCTGCTTTTTTAAAATTGCAAGGTATGTTTAAACGAGAACTTGTTTAACTCCTTAAGGACATAGACATTTTTGATATTAATTTATTTAAACGTAAAAAATACTTAAAAACTGAAAAAAAAAAAAGAAATGCGTTAATTTTGAAGAAAAATCTTCAAATTTTATTTTCCTTTGTCTCGCCTTTCTGTGAAATTTAACACCGATGAGTCATTGTTTACACATCTGGATGACCTTGAACACAGCTGGAGTTGGATTTCCCGGGACATTCTCATAGACGTCTCGGGATGACAAGGGTTTAAAGTAGGGTGACTACTAGCTAGGCCTATATTTTTAAATATTTTTAAAAAATTGAAATTTTAATTGCGATTTCCGACCCCATCTAATTAATTAAATTTATATATAATAAAATATATTAATTAAAAAAATTAAAAAACTATCGGAGGTCGTTTTTGACATCAGAAACTAGCTTTAAATAACTTTAAGGAAGGAAAATCCGTGCGCTAGAACTTTAGAACGATGAATTAATTTGATAAAAAATCCCATTAAAAAACAATTAAGCCTTAATCGAGCCTTATCAAAGGCTCATTAAAATCGCGATAAATTTTTTTAGCGCGGGAAAAAAATTTTGAAAAAATTTGGAGACAAAAAACATTCCAAAAATTCAAAAAAAAAAAAATTTAAAAACTCCCCTTAAGGACAGCGTTTTATGTAACGCTATGTAACTTGCCCGAGTTTTCTCGGGTTATGGGCTTAAGTTATATAATATATTAAAATAAATAAATAATAAGAAATGAATGAGTAAATAAATAAATACATTATAAGTATTTATGAATTAAAAAAAAATTATACGCGAGAATCGAACCCGAGAACTCAAGCTTATGAATCGGACTCGTTACCACTCTGCCACAGGACGCTCAAATAGAAATACGTATAATTTATATATAAAGTGCTAAAAAACTTTAAGTTCAATTTTCTTGATTATATTTGAGTATTGCACTTTAGTATTTTACACGTAGTACACTCACATGGTACACTTCTACACCAAAGATTGTCAAAATCCGTTACCCCAAAGCCGTAGGCTCTCCTTGTTAGACATTTCTGAAATTAACTGGAATTGGTCATTAAATTTAATATGAGATGGCAGCATAACTGCCTACCTATAGTCAAATTAATTAATTTTTAATATTTAATTATAGCCTATATATAGCCCAAGAATTTGGCATATTGTTTGGCATGTTTATTATATAATGGGCTATGGTTTATATGTAATATGTCTGAACCCAAGTTTTGAAAATTGTGTGGTCACAAGTGACACTAAGATGCTAGCAGAACAAATGCTAAACACAGACTGATGGAGCATGCGCACAATCCGGGACTTTCCCTATCCTTGTCACTTGTTATACAAAATGTCGCTCGCTAAGCAAGTAATTTTTTTAGACTTTGTTTTGCTCATTATGCGAGGTGCTCATTAAGTGAGGTTCCACTGTATATGAATAACTATTTAAACATTTTTATTAACTTGATTAACATAGTTAGTTAATCACTCAATGCTACTGCTTATATCAAAATCACATTAAACATACACAGTGGTACTCAACCAAACAATCACAACTGGCTACACTGACACAACTGGCAATTTTTGATTAATAACAAATATTTTTGTTTTAATTTTATTATCAGTAAAAAATTTTTCTGGATAAATATGATAAAAGTGATAAAAATGAGTAACTAATACAAAATTAAAATGAAACCTTAGAGCTCCCTTGGGATTAAGAAAAGAGCAACTTGACTACAAATGTGTGCCCCTTTATTATATGGTTACTATTTAATAATTAAATCTTATTATAGCCTGATACTATCTCACATGTAGTTTTGACATACAGTGATGCCTCGAATAACGGATGCTGCAAACAATGGACTTTCTGTTCAGCAGTTACGTGAAGCGAACAACAGACTTTCTGCAAACAATTGTGAATGATGTTTCCACTCTTTTGCTGTTGCTAATGACAATCTGCTATTTTTATAATATATTAGTATTATTAGAATATATTATTAGTATATCTGAAGTACAGAGCTCCTGTTGGGATTTGGCTTGCTCCCTTGTTTATTACATACATCACCTCAGTGCAGGGTATTTACATTTATTCAAGTGTTGTGCAAATCATGGCTTCTAAAAAACCAAAGGTGATTTCAATTTTAATAAAGCAAGAAATCATCAGAAGGAGTGAAAGTTGACAAAAATTTCCTTGTCAAATGGGGAGAGGTTCAGGAATTTACCAACACTCATTATCCAAACAGACTGAGGCCAACAGGATTAGTGATCTCTACAATGACACCCTTGCTCGTCATTTCCGACAGGTGTTGAAGAAGAGAGAGAAACAGATTACCTTGGACATGTTTTTAAGAAGCTAGCAGGCAAAAAACAAAGGATGGAACAAGAGGAGTTGACCCTGCAAGCTCTGGTAGCCTCTCCTGAATCTGACTCCGTTTAAAAAACAATAAAAAGAGACCTGCTGCAATGTGTCAAAAGTCTGTATCTCTATGAATGTGTGAAGAAAGTGTTTCTCCACCTTTTCCTCACAACATCTGACTACCTGGCATAATTGGTGACTGCTCCATTTTCATTTTTTTACGGTACAGTACGGTAAAACATATAATTCATATGTTTTAACATGTATTTCTATGGGAAAATGCGTTTCGTATAATGGACTTTTCACTTAACGGACGTGCATTTGGAATGGATTAAGTACATTATACGAGGCACCACTGTAATTATTAATATCTGTTAAATGAAATAAATTTTAATTAATTTGTTATGTGAATTAAAATTCTTATTGAGTTTATAACAATAACAGTAATCTGCTTTATTGAGATTCACTTTAATAATAGTTTTTTCTCAAACACTTTTGGGCTGTCTCTTATGATGATAAACTCAGTAACCTGAAATTGCTTGAGAAAAACTGTTATTAAAGTGAAAGCAGATTATTGTTAAAGAACTTGAAATTGATTCACATTACTTATTGAGTTTAATATTCTAATACAAAACTTTTTAAACAAGGTTTCTAATAAAAATTTATCTTAAAATTACAGTTCCAGTTTTACATTGTCATTTAGTGATCTTGAGAATCAAATGAAACAAACCTTTAACTACCAGTAACAAAGATTAATGAAAACTCTGAACATTTTCGACAATCACCAAGGCCTGCAGCAGGTTTTTTAACAAATTCCAAATTGGAACATTAGAATGATAATATTTAAAAAAAGAAAAAACTATTTTAAATTTCGAATAACACATAACGTAAATCAAATTTAAATGGTAGAATGACTAAAACTCGTAAATGTATGACCCTGTCACATATATACATTTTTAAAGATGTACAGATTGAATTAATATAGGCTAACTTTGCCTGAATTTTTCATAAAGGTACCTCCACACATGTGATATTATATTGCAGTCTTTAAAATTAATACACTTGCCAATCAGGCTGGCTTTATATATTTTCAAAGCCTCCAGACTACGAATATGGTTAGTGGCATACATGGACAAGGCAATGGTATGCCTGTTGTTATTAATGTTGTATTGATGCTCACATACTCTATATTGATACTCACACAACAACAGGCATACCACCGCCTTGTCCATGTATGCCACTAACCCGGAAGTGTATGCAGACCTCCAGAACAGCAAGTTAATTAAGCAGGCCTATCAAACAGACCATATAATAAGCAATACATTATGCATCATTTGCATATTGAAAAAATATGAAAATCAAACCATTGAATTCTATACCAATCAAATTATCTATAGATTTTCTAATCTAACAAATAGAAATTGAATAAATATGGTAAGAGGAGGTTCCCTTGGGGTAAGCCTCTAGAATGCTTAATACCAGGATAAACCAAGAACCTTGAGAGATATAAACATGATATTCTGCAAATATATTGGGTTGTTTGGAAAGTAATTTCATTTTTTTTACCACTAGATGGATTAGTCGTATTTTTCCTGCCATTTTCATTCTAAACTGTATTATCATTATATATTTTGACAGCTAGAATTTTAAGGCTTATTTGTAAAAAATTTTGTTTGATTTTGTGCAATTGTTTATTTTTTGTGTCCCATCAAATATGGAAGATCAAAAACAGAATTTCAGCATATTTTGCTCTTTTATTACTGAAAAGGTAAGAATGCTGTTCAAGTGAGAAAAAAAATTGTGTGATGTGTATGGAGAAGATTGACAGAACGAAAGTGCCAAAATTGGTTTACAAAATTTTGTTCTGGCAATTTCAATATTGAAGATTCACCACGTTCTGGATGGCCAGTTGAAGCCAATGAAAACAAAATAAAGACACTGATTGAAGCAAACTGCCGAATAACAACACGTGAAATCACTAAGAGATTAAATTTGTCAAATTGAATGGTTTATGGTTACTTGAAACAAATTGGTTTAGTTTCAAAGATTGATATATGGGTTCCACATGTTCTTAAAGAGAGATGCTCTCTTTGGTGGGATTTTAAGGAAATTTTGTTTTTTTTTTGGAGCTTTTACCAGACAATTTAACAATTGATTTGAAAATGTACTGTCATTGAGTAAACAAATTGAGTAATATCATCAAACAGAAAAGGCGGCCAGAATTGATCAACAAAACAGGCGGCCAGAATTGATCAACAAAACAGGTGTAGTGTTTTACCACGATAATGTCAAATTTTCAACAATTTGGTAACTCGTCAGAAACTGTTATAACTTAGATGGGACATACTATCACACCGACCATATTTGCCAGATTGAGCGCACACAGATTATTGCTTGTTCCTGCGTATACAAATTTTTTTTAACTGTAAGACATTTACTTGAAATGACAATGTCAAAAATCACTTGGATCAGTTTTTTGTAAGTAACGATCAAAACTTTTATGAATGTGAAATCATGCTACTACCAGAAACAATGACAACAGGTATTTGACCAAAATGGTCAATATATAATTCAATAAAATANATAATTTAATAAAATATTTATTTATTATAAAAATATTGTTTTTTTTCCACGGAAAAAAAAAATGAAATTACTTTCCGTACAGCCCAATGTATATACTGCATAAGAGAATAATTTCCCTTCTCCTTTTAATCATAAGGTCTTTGACTCTGTTTCCATCAGTTTTCTATATCAATAAGCACTGCAGACATCTTATTGCATTTTTTATTCATGTGAATAAAATAAAAAGAAATAATCATAGTTATTAAAAAAAACCATATTGAATTCAAAAGTTAAAATGTTCAGCAAATACTTATGTAAAACACTTTCTCATAGTAAACAACAAAGCTATGGGATGATAATTTTCAAGAATTAAAGGATTACCTTTTTTTAAAAATTATCAATACTTTCATTTTAATTTTGTCAAAAAGTAGAATATTTATAAAATGAATTAAGTAATTTAACCAGCCAATGATTTAAATAGGTAAGAAAACTTCAAAAAATTATTTTGAATCTTACAAGATCTGGTGCAGTATTGCATAATTTTCATCATTTCAAGATTTAATTGTTTGCCACCCTAATTAAAAAGGCTTTCACACATTGTTTCAGTTAATATACCATTTACATGTAATAATATAGAAGAATAATCTGGAAGAAAACATCAGCATGGATTTTTGACATGACAATCTATTCTTTCAGATTATTCTAAATTAATGTAATTATTAATATTAGCACACGCCCTCAACTTAAGTACCTAACTTTAGACTAAATTAATTAGTTTTTATATATTAATATACAGACAAAAGATAGCCAGATGAAATTTAGTTTTAGATATTTGGTAATCTTTGTAGATTCAGAGTTGGTTGCAATTATGTATATAACTTCTAACAAAATTAATCAAGGAATTTATTTTAGTTCGTCTTAGATTGAAATCTGTGAAAAATATCCAAAAAATTACCCAAAGTATGAAGATGGTGTCAGCTGCTAAATATGCTCGTGCAGAAAGGGATTTAAAACCAGCTCGGCCATACGGTGAAGGAGCACAAGGTATGAAAATTTCTTAGGATGTGAATATATTTATCAATTAAATAATTTAATATTAAGATATATAAATCTTTTGTTATAAATTTTAATTCTAGCATTTTATGAGAGTAGTGAATTGACAAAAGATGAAAAAAGACCATCAAGCTTAATTCTTGCTGTAACTTCTGATCGAGGATTATGTGGTGCAGTTCATTCCAGTGTATCCAAAAAAGTCAAATCCCTTTTGGCTGAAAACGAACAGGCAGATATCAAAATTTTATGCCTTGGAGATAAAGCTAGAGCTCTCTTACAAAGGTATAAGCAAATGCCTATTTTAATAATTAAATATAATATTTATATTTTAAAAACAAGTTGTGTTCATTCTTAAGTAACATAATTGAATTAAATTTTTTTAGGAACTATGAATTATACAGAACATATTTTATACATTTTACAATAGAATTTTACAATGCATGAACTCTCAAGAATAATTTGTACATAGGGAAAAAATATTTTATTATAATTTTTTCTGTTACTTTCCCAGCTTTTGTAATATAATATTGTAATTGTGTCATATTTAACATTATGGATTTTTAATTAATGAAAATTTTCCTTGTTATTGGCATTTACAATATTTTTACAAACTCATCTCTATCCTCAAAATTAAGTCTTTCTTGCTTTTTTATAATAATTAATAACATAAAAATTATTTTTTAATAACATCTCAACAGATAGTACCCACACAATTTTAACTTTGTCTAATATGTCTTAGTGTTTCTTAATTAAACATGAGTTTTTTTTCCTCTAAAAAAGTTATGCAACTTTGCTGCTGTATTTTTATTTATTTCTAGTTTAAAAATTTGTATTATTTTGTTTTAATTGTAATTGTTAAATTATATTTAGTTAACTTAGATAATTTTATATTCAAGTTCACAATCAATACAAACCATATTTTTATCAAAAACCATATTTAGTAAAAGTTTTTTCTTCCAATAGTGAGACTAGTGATCTTTATCACTTCTTTCTTAATTATTCACAATAAACAGAGACCAAGATGCAAATAATTCACTTTATCTGTCTATTTAGCAATGCATTTCAGATTGGCATTTTCCAATTCCTTTTCGGGCTACAAATGTTGAAAAACAGTTTTATGAAAATATAAATTAACAAAGAATAAAAAAACAAAATTTAAATTTACAAGTATACAAAATGAACCTCATGGCTTTAGTGTCCAAGGTTGTTGTGTGTCTCTACCCAATGTCACATTTGCAACATCTTTTATGGTTCTTAATGATGTCATACTGTATGTCATCAATTTCTATCCCATTATTTAGGTTGATACAATTTTGACAATGGATAATAGCTGTGTGTTCTTTAAACCATCTTATATACATGTCATTTTTTTTAAAGAAAACTTTAATATTATTTCTATCTATATTACAATTATTTTCTTTGCAATGTGGGGTCCATGAGATTGGCAGTATTTTAACTTATGGCTGCCTCATGTTTAAGTCTCTGCTAATGGTCTTTTAGTCTTACCTATATAATGTACTTTATTTGTATAAGTACAACTCAACTTGTAAACTACTACTGGCATATTTAAACAATTTATTTTTCTTGAATTACTAGATTTTAAATTAGCATTAATTTTGGTTTTTAACTTCAGAGTTAAAACAGTGTCATGTTTAATAAAGTATTTTTTTATACTTTTCAAAGATACCACTTATGTAAGGGAAAGAAACAAATATTTTTACTATAGCATAAAAGTTTATTTTAACTTTGTTAATGTTTTAACAGAATTATGTCCAACTGAGGAAGGGTAATAATGGCCCAAAATGTACAGTACATATTGGTTTAATAAAAGCTCAGTGAGCTTTCCAATTGAAAACTGTGGTGTGATGAGTCTGTAAAATTTATAGCAAATTACATATACCTATTAAGAAGATTAATTACAATATAGAACAAAAAGTAAATAATTAGAATCAGAATGACTTTTTTAAAAGATATTTTATAATAATAATTTAATAAAAATTTAAAAGTATTTGAAAGTTTAGAAAGTGAAAATATTGATTTTTTTTTTTTGTTTTGTTTTTCAGACAATATGGTAAAAACATCATAATGGTATTTTCTGAATTTGGAAAAAAGCCTCCTGTATTTGATGATGCTACTAAAGTTGCTAACGCTATTCTAAATTGTGGACATGATTTTGAAAAGGGTGTTGTTTTCTTTAATAAATTCAAGTAATATTTAATATCTTGTTATAATTTTGTGTTGTTTTCATATAATTTATTACAAGAGTTTATTTGTTCTTGTAGATCTGTGGTTTCTTATAACACATCTGAAATACCAATATTTGGTTTAGATGCAATTAATTCAGCAGAAAAGATTGCATTATATGACAGTTTAGATGCAGAAGTTGTTCAAAGTTATCAAGAATTTTCATTAGCCAGCATAATTTTTTATGCCATGAAAGAAAATTCTTGCAGTGAACAGAGTTCACGAATGACCTCTATGGATAATGCTACCAAAAATGCAGGTAAGATTTTATTACTGTTCAAATAGTAAATAATTTAAATTTAAGATAATTTAATTTATGAAATAAAACTCTCTTGAAAATACACTAAATACGATTTACATAAAATGATATAATTTTTGTGGATAAGGTTGATCAAAATGTTTGTTTGTGGTTCTCAGGTGTTTATCAAATAGTAACTGTGTGGCAGAACTTAATGAACACTCAGTGATATTTTGGTTGTTGAAAATTTATGAATTAGTTTAGAGGATTACTGTAGAATATAAGTCATCAACAATGCTCAAGTTTGATAAATTTGCTCACATCATTTGATTATGAAGATCCATTATTGTTGATCTTCAAGACTTGATAGTGACATGCATGAGCCAATTTGGGAATGACTTTGTTCACAAAGCAAACAATTTATCTAAAACAGTATCTTCCAAGTAACAGTGAGATAAAAGTTTTAGCACTTAGCAATTTCTTCTAGTCTCATGGAAACTAAGTAGCCATAAATAGAAAATTTTTGGTCACTCCTTACATATTAATTCTGCATTTTTAAGCATATTTATAAAATATATTATCTTTATTCTTGTTTCTTTATAAACTTTATTAAACACTATTTTAAAGCTCCAAAGAAAATGACAAAATGAAAATAAATTTAATTTTGACATTTTTTTAATATTTTCATATTTTAATTATAATTTGTTTTTGTTTAGGTGAGATGATTGACAAATTAACATTGACTTTTAACCGAACCAGACAGGCTGTGATTACCAGAGAATTGATTGAAATTATTTCTGGAGCTTCAGCTCTTTAATTAAAATGTTTGTTTAAAAAATTTAGTATTTTATAAAAATATTCTAGAAAATATAAGTAGTACTTTCTGGAGAATCACTGCAAAACTGTACAATAAAGAAAAATGAACTGGAAATGTTTTAGTGATGTAATAAGTGATTTAATATTTTCATACTTTCATGCTTTTAAGAAATAATTTACATATTTTGTGCTATAAACCTATTTTATTTTTGCATTTAAATGAAAAAAATTAAAACAATGCTGATGTTTCACTACAATGTTATAGTAAAATAATATAGGTTTAATATTTCATTAGGTTTCATGTGTGAAACCAGAGTTGGAGTCATTAAAAATTGCTTTATTTTGTATTTTTATTTTTTTAATTCTGAAAATTATCATCATTGTTTTTTATTACACACTTATATACATGGCAGAGATTACACATAGGAAAAAATTTAGTTGAAATTTTTTAAATTGTTAAAGTTAAAATTGTTGAAGATTAAGGTAAAGTCAGATCAAATATAAACATTCAAACCTGATATTAAAGCCAAATGATCGCCAAGTTATATTGGCTATATTACTACTACTATTAATTAAATATTAAGCAATTTGGAACTAGAGGCAGACATTTGGTGGCATATCTTGCTAAATTTAATAATAATAATTAATTTATAAGGTTCTGGAAGAAGAATTAGCCCAAAACCAGACTCAAACCTGCAACTCCCAATTGCACTTGCATTGCTTGTTATGGTTATATCTAAATACTGTAAGTTCTGAAAGCAAGGATTGAATGACAGTTTGGGTAGCATAACTGGCAGCATGATTCAGGAGTTGTTTAAGTAAATTATTAAATTTAGCAAGAGCTGGTGTCTAAAGCTTGCCTCTATTGCCAAATTACTTAGCATTTAATAAATAGTAGTAGTAGTATACCTCAATATAATTCAGCATCATTTGGCTTTAACATAGTCAGATTGAGTAGATTTTTAGATGATTCTGAAGCCCTGGTGAAACAGTAAAATGAGATCAATTATTTAAACTTGATGTAAAAATAAACTTTATTTTATAATAAGTAAATTTGCAATATGCGGTATTTACATGTATTTAATATTTTATATTAAGTTTAAAACACTGTGCTGGCATATAAGTTGACATATAAGACTGAGATTTTCAATTCAAAATTTTGGTTTGGTCTATGAAATATAAGTCGACTCCTAAACGTGGTAGGCTACCTCTATTTTTCCCATTTTTGACTTTTTGCCCTATGGGTACTACGGTTGCTGTTTTTCCATACTCATTGTGGGTGTGGCCAGGCCATATTGGTGACCATATTATGAGGGATGGAGCCTAACCTGTTGGGACTTTACTGCCCATGAAGAGAGAAAAGTTCCAAGATTCGTTTAAACATTGCGTCCTCCCAAATCAAAATGCGGTATCGGGTTAACATCGATATTCGACCTTTCCCGCGCCCCAATCCGGTATCTTTCTACCTAGAAACAAAGAAAGGTACAAATGGGCAGAAAAGAACAGGATTAGCGACTAATTGTTTGATCCGCGGTTAAAATTTATATAAACCCGCATCTCAAGGTCATAGCGCGCTTCTCTGACCGTTCTTCAAAAAAAACCACGCTTCTCCAACCTTTCATCTCAAAAACCGCTCTTCCCGAACCGTGTATCGTCGAGACTTCAAGAACTAAGTGACCCTTTTCATCTACTTCGTAACGACTTCATTCAAGGTCCGACACCATAAGAACTCGCGAGCTATTACTCCGGATCACAAAGAACATCATCGTTGGACGAATACTGAAGAATTAACGATGTAAGTAATTTGCAAGATTTGTTCACTATATTATATACATTTTATATTGTCATTTCGGTAACTAAAATTTTGTTACTGATTCTCAGAACTGATTCCTTTGTGTTTAAAAGTATAAACTAAGTACAGTATAAAAAACGAAATCGAACTTATCTCGCTGATGCATTCAACTAACTTTGAAGCAGTCAAATTAGATCCCATGATAAGGAATATATAGTAAGAAAGAGAAATTGCTGAGCTACTTTCCTGGTTTTTAATGATCTGTCCAATCCATATTCTCCAAATTATTTCTATATTTATATTTTTGATTTTGAAATATCAGGTTGTAAAGGTGTAATTTAGATATTTTGAAGAAAAAAACCTATTGACGATTAAATCAACAACGATTACGGTTCAGTTTTTTAGATAATTGCCATCAATATCAATCACTTTTCGTCACTTTACTGCAAACTTTCAATCTCGTGAGTATAGAAAGACTGAGGCTTTTCTTTGAAGAAAGTCTCGACTTTCGGTATTGTATAATGACAATATTAGCGCGTGACATTTTGTCGTGCCGTGACATTTGATGATAGGGAAGCTGTGTTTCCATAAATATTTTAAACAAATACTGGAAATGACAAAAAAAAAAAGTTTATTCATTTTAATTCTAAAATGGATAATTGACACGAAACAAAGACATAAAAACTTGCTTTTATTATTTTTTTTTTTATAAATTAACTCTGCGGAAAAAAAATTGCTGAATAAAGTCTTCAATTACTTTATCATAGAAATCGCTCGTCGTTGAATTCCATAGAAGTACGAGGTATTTAAAAGCTCATTTTCTATGGAAAGCAACACTAGTGGCGACAATTTTTCCTCTTACTGAGCATCCCTTGCAAATGTATGAATTCGCTTCGTGGTTGAAAAACTGCGCTCAAAAGAGGCACTGGTAGATGGCACCGTAAAAATTAACGATGTTAAATCATATAATTCTTTTATTACATCTTTGTTTAGATCGTCATTAATTATAATATTTTTTATGTCTAGGAGTGACTCGCCAATATAGTCTGGATACAAATATAAATATTGTAATTCACTACATAATACAGATAAATCAAAAAATTCTCCATAATATTTACTTAATTTAAAGAATTAAAATTCGCTTTTAAAAATTGTTTTTCATAATATTTAAAATTATTAACATCTAAAAGTAATAAAAATTCTAAAGATTCTGTCTGAAAATCTGTCAATATAATTATAATTAAATATAACTTTGTCAAAGGGCCGATTTATGTTTCTTTACATTTACAACAGTTGGTTAGCCTTTGATCACCCACGAACGCTTTAACTTACGTTTTGCAGATGAAATCGTCAGCCTTCGTTGTATTGTGGCCACTTTTGAAGTGATAAAACAATAGCATGCGTGCGAATGTGTTTTTTCGGAATTTTCGTATTGTAAGACATTGTTGATGCGTCTATTTCCAACGAAATATGTGATGGCATGCCCTTTGGTCTTTGTACTGGGTTCATATGGAGTTTATTGCTATTCGCTTTTACTCCGAGAGACTGGTGGTTGATCGCTCCAAAGAGCTGGCCTTATAAAAGACGGCCTAAATGTACGCGAGGAGAATAGAATGCCTTTCCAGGAGGAATTATGGGAAGCTGGCCCCTATTCAGGCGATTATGAACGTGGAGAAAATCCGTAAAAACTCCATGCTACCAGCGTGAACCTACGACTGAACTCCCGGTGTTTAGAGTCTGGTCTCTGCCGATGAGTGGAGACGGAATCCACTCGACCACTGGTGGGCTCCGCATGCCCTTTGATTACCCTATTTAAGTTATATACTACATCAAACGTTTTATAACATTTTTTTCCACGAGATGTCTAAATTTCATCTTTACAGTCTGGATACCCTATAATATCGGGTTTGAAATTTTTAAGAGATGAGATGTACTATTTGTTTTTACATTATTCTTACAATTTAAATCTTAAAAATCTTTATTTTTCCAGCCAGGTTCTTTTGAAGTCACGGACTAAGTTACATTCAGCAAATTGATCGAAGTTCGATACCGAAATTTTACCATCGAAATTAAGAGAACAATATATCTTTATTCAATTTTCTTAGTTTCTTCAATCCATTCCACCAACTTGGAAACGTGAGTGTAGAAGCCGTAATTACCTTTCTGAGCACATCCTACACCCCAGCTAATAATGCCTACTTGAGTCCAATATTTTTGACCTAAGTCATTTTTCATTCGCTGCATCAAAGGTCCACCACTGTCTCCTTTACAAGTATCTTCGTCTCCTGAAAGATTAACAATTTTTAATCAAGATTTATAAAAATTTATATAAGATCCGATACTAAAAACTAATGGAAATAGTCGAATTTATTAAACTGAATGCTCGTTATGGCAAATATTCGAAAGCATTACTCTCAAGTATTATTCCGTGTAGCCTACATTTATGGAAGAATTCATATCAAGCATTTTTTCTATTCATCATACTTGCATTTCAATCTATTGTAACGAAATTAGCGACCTAATGCATAGTTTGTCACATAATCTTTAGCCAAAAGAAAGAGCCAAATAAATTGTTCTATTGTACAAATTTATGTTAGACATACTTAGGCAAAGTAATCTCATTGACTTAAAATATGTTAACTTTTCGTTTCCACATTACTTCGCAAAATCGTTTTATTTGAAACCTATTATATAACTATAGTTGTAATTACCTTTTCCTTTTCCAGCACAAAACATTCTGTCCGTAAAATCGTATTTGCCATTTAAACTATTCTTACAAGTAATATCGTTCTGTATAGGCAATTTTACTCGTTTTAAGTGACTGATAGGCTGTAGATATTCTTTCACTTCTGCTACAGGTTTATCGTAACCCCAACCAATAGCGACTGCTCTCTCTCCTTCTCGATACAATTGGGAATCTTTTGGCAATTCTAAAAAAAAAAAAAAAGTGAAATTATAGGAGGAAACGAAACATGTTAATGAAATGAAATAAAATAACGAAAGCAAAGGTAATGTACAAAAGAACTCACTTGAAAATGTAGGTGGAAGGCAAATGGGTCGTACGAACATGTTGAACTCCGCTTGTCTGCCTAATTTAACCAATGCAATATCATTATGATGTGTTTTTTTGATGTATTGTGGATGAAAGATATATTTCTCTATTCTTATTTTTTGGAGATTCTTGCGATTTTTTACGTTGAGCAAACCTGAAATCAGTTTAAAGTAACGATAGTTTTAAATGGAGAAATGTAATCTGAAAAAATAAATTTCATATAAATGACAATTTACAGCATAGCCGTTATATTTATGTGTGGCTATTTTCCTAAATCGTCACCATTTCTTTTAATTTTATATTTCATTTAATTCTCATTTAATCTTTTTCTTTGTGAAAGTCAACTTGGGAGTTCTCATACCACGAATTCATAAGTGTTGAAGTATTAAAGCTATTTTTTAATTATCTAATAACACATATATATATATAAATTAAAATGACATTTACAGATAAATATTATATTAAATTAATTAACTGTGGTCAACTAAAAAAATAAGAGAAATGCAATATATATTTTTTTCAGATTATACCGATAAAAATGCTTGAAATCATACGAAGTAGCATAAAATTTTTGGTTTCTGTTCAGCAGAATACAAATTTCTTGTCAACCTTTATAACAAGAACATCCTTAAAAGTGTATATGACATCTAAATAATGACATGAGAGGTCGTAGCATCTAAAATTTTACCATTAGACCTACTACAATACAGTTATAATTTACCTAAATAAACGACTATGTGGTTCTTGTCTATGAGAATATCGTTTTGATAAAAACAATGAGCTGCTGTCAGGATCCAATATTTGTCAATTATAGAACCACCACATCGATGCTGAAAATAAAAGAAAAAAGTTTTTTTTATAAGACTTTAAGTCTCCTATAGTTTTAAAATCGAATTATATTGCTTCAGATGAAATATTTACCACTGCTTTAGCTAGATCTTCATCAGCATTGTCTGCAAAATATAATGCTGCCATCCATGGCCACGGACGCTTTGCTCTTTTTCCTCCAATTACACGTCCTAAATTGTCCTCCTCCTCTTCTTCTTCTTCCCCTTTTACCAACACCGATTTCTGTATACCGCAGTTAACAGAATAATCTGAAATATGTTACATTTATAATTAATTTTTATAGATTGCTATATAATAAAGACATATTTCTTTTCCTATTATAATAATTTAAATATAAAATGCATAATTTCCAACAATCTAATATCAAATAAATTAGATCTGTCGTTGAAATCAATTTATTTACAATACAATATATCAGTTTATCTATTTGCACTTCATTTCATACAACTGTATATAGGAAATGTGTTTTATCAAGTTTTTCTACTTTTAGATTTAAACAGTTAAGTATATAATATTTACCAACTGAACCGTTAATAATTTCCTGTATTAGCCAATCGACAGTATCGTAAGAATCCAATATGAAAACATGTTCATCCCTTGTTGAAGCAATGTCGTACAACGTTTTCATCTGTCGATCACCCGTTATTCCAATGCAATATATCTCTACTCCATATTCTTTCAGTTGGTCCGCATCTTGCATAGGATCTCCTTCCATATTAGCCTTACCTAGAATTTTAATTACCATACTTTAACGTACAGAAATATTTCGAGATTAAATAATTGTAAAATTTTATAATGCATTAATTACCATCTGTCATTAGAAACACAATTGGTTTTTGTTTTCCTCCAAGCGTATTTTCCGTTAAAGGAATCATCTTATTCTTTAATTCTTTAAGAGCCAACCTGGTAGCAGTTCCACCTCCCTCTAAAAAAACACGCGTGTGAAATTCTTCCGTCAGTTTAATAATTATTATAGAAGAGTCTATAATTTAAATGTATGTATTATATTTAACTCACTTGTAAAGTTTAAATTATCCAAAGCAGTAATAACATCTTCAGTAGTAGTAAAAATCATAGGAAAAAATTCTATAATGGCTTCGTTGCTGAAAGTCATAACTCCCACTCTACTTCCATCCACACTTACTCCAATCTAAATAAAATATTAAAACATTATTTATTGGCATTTTTATCTTGTTAAAAAAAAATGATTTAGCTCACTTTTTTGACTAAGAGTTTGACAAAATTGACACTTTTCTTGAAATCTTCACTTCCAATACTGCCGGAGATATCGAAGATAAAATAAAATACCAAGCGATCTGGATGATTTAGATTAATTGCTCGGGAAACAATGTGAGAATTTTCTTTTAATGATTCTTTATAATCCTCTAAAATATCCTCCTGTTCAGTCTTCTCAGCATCTATTATCTCTTGCAGACGAGAACTTACTGATTCTTTTCGATCGAAATCGTGTTCGTCTACAATATAATATTATACTGTAGTAAGAATAATATATAGTGTATTTAATCTACATATTTTTAATTTTAAATAAATAAAATACATCGTATTATTTACTACAATATTATATATATAATTTAAATATAATCTACAGAATATTTTGTAAAATAAAAGAAAATTCTGAAAGATTATGAAATGTGATCAATTATATTTTGTTCAGAGGTTATGCAAGATGGGTGAAAAATAATTACGCATTGAGAAATCACTATAATTTCTATATTTCTAATGCAAAGTCAATGAAAATTATTTTTTGTGTACCTTATTAAATGGAAACACGGATACATATCTTAAAATTTAATGTAGACACCGGTGACATCCACCAACTTCCTCAAACGACTGGAGATCGTGATGAGGATTGACGGCCACTTTTCTGTGCGTTATACAATATCTTTATAATTAATTAGCCAAATTATAACTCGATTAAAATCTAGGGTATCGCTTGTTTATTATTACTATATTTTGGGCTTGGTTTTATATAGAATTGATTAAATACATATCTAACTTGTAAAGGCTTATAGTTATAGGCCTATATTTATGATTTTATTTGAATTTTTATTACATGATATATAACTATAATCTTCAACGAAAGATTCAATATTAATAAAATTCTGCAAATCGTAATCTTATAATAAATCTAATCTTTATTTATTTTTGAAATTTTACATCTTATGCAATAATAGTAATGAAAAAATTAAGCTTTCTTAAATTATAATTTAGCAAAAAATGGACAATAAAAGTACGATAAAGTCTTTTATTATGGTAGCATCATACAGTATTTAAATCCTTACTTACCAAGACATATTGCTTCAGATCCAGACCATTCGCCATTGTTTTGGCACATTCTTTGCTTAGATCCAACTAACTGTTTTCCAGGTAAGCAACGAAATTTCACTACGTTTCCAAATTTATATAAACGTCCAATTTTGATTCCATTGATAGGAATTCCAGGATTCGGACAGTCATTTTCTAGAAATGTTTTAAGCTATGTTACGTTCGATAATTTTTAATATTAATAAAAATGACTTTGCTGTTTTACCTTTTGAATCGCATCTACTAAGTTCACCGCTCCATCTGCCATTTGGAAGACATTGTCTTTTAGCAGATCCGAGTAATTGATATCCCGAAAAGCAACCGAACTCCATTATGTCACCAATTTCATAACTTCTCCCTTTTTTCCATCCGCCTTCCGGTGTGGGAGGTTCGGGACAACGAATTTCTATAAAGCAAAGAGAATTTTTAATACAAGAAAAATATATATTTGGTAATAATACGAACCTACTAACTTTGGCATTTTGGAATGGGGTAACTCCAGCCTAATTCGGTGCACGCGCTCCACCAGTTTCCAATTAGAATAAATCCTTCTTGGCAACCAAAATTTATCTCAAATTGGAACGGAAAAATGCTTTGGTTTTTCTCGTGAATAAATCCATTTTCCGGTATTTTTGGTAATTTGCATTTGATTTCTATAATTATTCATACAAATAAATAAATAAAAAGACATTCTCATATTCTAAGATAGAAATAGAAATTTATAAACACGATTTTTTTTTCTAGAAATTAATAAAAATATGAGAATATTTTGTAAATTTGAACATTGACAAACGGTTAATATTAACAGGAAAAAAATTTATTAAAAAAGATAATTTAATATAATTTGATTGTTCAACACTTTTCTGGCTATTGCATATAACTGAGGATGGAGATCGACCATAAAATGATCCCCCAAGATTTTTACATTATTGGACTCAGGAGATCTTGAAACGTCGAGAAATGGGGAAAAATTGGGGTGTTTTTCTATATGTATGGATATTAGTATGTTTGTCGGGGACACGATTTTATTCACCCAATTTAAAGCTTAATAACTCCTGTGCTTTTTGTCAAAAATTTATAAAATTTTGCAGGGGGGATTGTGTATTAAAGAGATTGATGCTATTAAATTTTGATGGTTAAAGGTCGAGAGGGTGGGAAAATAAACGGGGTAGTATGTCGTATCTCGAGTAGGGTTTGAGTTAATGACGGTTTTACTCGTTATTGGCATTTACAATTTTTACAAAACTCGTCCCCACCTGAAAATTAAGCTTTTTGCTATTTTATAATAATTAATAATATAAAAAGTGTCTTTTTTAATAAAATATCATAATAGATGACGCCACACACACTTTTAACTCTACTGTCGGGAAAGTTACGCAACTCGTTGCTGGCTGTTTTATTTTCATTTGAAAATATGCAAAATATAAGGTCAAAGGTCAAAAATCTGTAGTGTTAAGTCAAATATTTGATGATAAATTAATGATTATTACTGTTATAAATAAATTTAATAGTTGTATCTCTATTTTGTTTGCATTGCAGTTTTAAAATTAATTAATTAATAATACATAAATTAATAATTAATTATTAGTAAATGAATAATATTTATAGTTAAATCATTATAGACCTAATAATAATTGAATCAATTATATTAATTCTAGGTAATAATATTTTGAAATCATTTGTTTTTTCTGGCTTATCTGATAAAATATTTTATAAACTTTTAAACTTATCAATTAAATTTGCATTACTAAATTTATTTATCTGTGTTTTTTTTTTTTAGTTGTCAGTTATGAAAATTGTTCCCTCTGTAAGATTCTTAGATCCATCTCTAACTAATATCTTATGAAATAAACCCCAAATGAGCACATTGCATTTTATATATTTATTTTCAATATTGGATTATCATAATTCAGATTTCACCATTATCTTGTATAAGCCTACAATTCATATTTAATTTACTTCAATAGTCATCTACCTGAGCATTGAGGAAATTCATCATCCCAACGTCCGCTATCACAGAACAACAAATCGCTTCCTTGACTAATAGAATATCCTTTTTCGCATTCGATTGATATCTCATCGTTAGTTTGATAAAAGTCTCCTGATTTTTTTCCCACAAGATTTCCATGAGGGATAACGGGAGGATCGGGGCAAAATTCTTCGGCTTAAAAGAGAAATAAATAATTATTTTTTCCATTAAAACTTAATAAAAAATATTTTTAAACTAAATTTTCAAATTTTGGTTTGAATTTTGAATAGAACGTACGTCTACAAAGTGGTCGTGGATTACTCCAACCTTTTTCGGTACAAACAATTGTTTCGGCTCCTACTAACGTGAATCCCGAATTGCAACTATAATGAACCGTGCTACCTTTTTTGCAACATTCTCCCAGACGGTAACCATCAGAAGAAATCCCCGGATCGCGACAATCTTTTATATCTTAAAAATAAATTAGAAATTTTATTTGATACAAAAAAAAAATCCACAAGAATTAAATATTTATTCAATTAGATAAGCAAAAATTTAAGTAATTTATTTACCTGTACAAATGGGACGTTCTCCCGACCATTCCAAACTGAATCCCCTTTTGATACATATCAACTCGTTTCCTCCTCTTAACTCGTATCCTTCATCACATCGATATTTCACTCGAGTTGAGATAGGAAATTCTGCTTTATTAGATTGCAATATGGGTTCTCCGTGTTCCACAAGAGGAGGAGGTTGGCAGGATTTCGCTACAATGGTAATTTTTTAATTGTAAATTGAAAACAGTTTCCTAGTTTAAAAATTTAACTTACGTATACACGTTGGATGCTTTAATAACCATTTTCCATTTATGCATTTATTCGTTCTCTTTCCTTTTAATTTATAATTAGATCTACATTTAAAATTTATAACAGTATGACTTGGAATTTTTAAAGTATGACCAGGGAATTGAGAAATTATTTTTCCATTTTTAAATTGTTTTGGTAAGATACAACAATCCGTACATTCATTTAATGAGTTCATTTCAGTTTGATCTGCGTTTGCATCTAAAATTTATATATAATCTTATTAAAGATAAAATTTGTATAATGATAGAATAAATTATTTTTAATTAAATGCTAGCAATTTTAATAGACCTATACAGTTTATAAATCAATCGCGCAAATTGTATTTCAAGGAGAGACGTGATCCCTCCCATTTGGAAAGTATTAATCAATTAAATAAAATTAAAATTATACAGTTGGTGGGTGCTTTCAGTTACTCAGATGCTAAGTAAATATAAACATTTCCGTTGATACTCCCAACTTTGTAGAATTCAATATGGCGGCTCCCAGCTTACAAGACCACGTGGTATTGAAAGATAAAAATACCGAGAAAAATAAATTATTTGTAAATCTGATAAAGATACATTATTTGCAATTTATAGTAATGTATTTTATAATAAATTATAAATTAACTTACTAATTAAATAAAACTGCAAATTGATCAGTACCTTAAACTAAGAGTTAATACAAGTACAGTACAAACAATGCATAATGCAGTCTGTTAGCTATATATTTAGCTCAATTTACTTATACTCATTTTCACAATAATATTGCTTGTAACCATGGGCCAATCGATACACAAGGGGAGACGGGACATATCCCAATATTTTTGTATCGGAAAATTATCTCCCTCCCATGATAGATGCGTATTTTAAATTTATACCGTACTACAAAAATTAGGAGTAGAAAAACAAGTACATTGTTCACCTTACTTTTATATTCATTCAAAACCCGACAATGAGAAATTTTTCATATTTATTATCGTTGGCCTGACTCTAATATACAGTATATACAGATGCTTGTAACTATCAATTATAAACGGCCATTTTATTAAGCAAAGTCATTCAGTTAATAGGCGAAATTTATCATTAACAAAGCAAACAAAGCGCTTAGTAACTGAAAGCATCAAGTAAATTGTATACAATTTATATTTATTTTGTACCAGTTCAGTTCCTGTTTAGTCTATTGTATTAGGTCTATGTTAAATTCTTTAATTACAAAAATTATTTGAAAATATTTAATTATCTCGAATAAAATTACGTTAATTATTAATGAAAACAAAAATATAATTAATTTTGTTAAAAAAAATTACTACATACCATCGCTGTTTGCAGCAAACATCATTAATAGGCATAAAAATGCATACATTTTGCTGAAAAAAATTTAAAATATAATTTTATTTTCATATAAAAATACGTTAAAATAATGTGTATGTGGGGGGATATTTATATAAATTTCATAATTACATTATATATTGTAATCTCACAAAAGAATTTCAGTGTATCATTTGATTTCATGTTTATGATAAATAGTAACGTACAGTACATAATATTTTGTTTAATATAATAAGAGAATAACATCATTGAATTATAGAAAGGCATTAAAATATAAAATTTAATTACTATTTTACAGTGCTAATTTATTAAAAATTCAGTTTTAAGAATAGAGAATTTGTACAATCAAGACGTGTGTATAAAAGTCGATTTCCAATCTTTTTTTTCAATGATTATCGATACAAATACAATAATTTACATAATGTAACATAAATAAAATGTAAAAATTTATTCTGAATGCGTGTCTCAATATCTTTTAGTAAAATTAAGTATATTAAATTAAATATTATTTCAGTGCAACTATTACGTACGTGTTCCTCTATAAGATAAGTTTGTTTACTGTTGTTTAAACATAATTTTTGTATATATTTGCCTTATAAGACAAATATTTTGAAGTTTTCCTCGAAATATATATCTAATACAACAGCCTATATTTAATAAGAATCTCGCGAATTTACGGTTAAACAAACAAATACAAACTAAGATTTCAGCAAATATTACATTTAAAAAACATTTAAACTAGCCAGAAACTGTTAGTTTGCCAATAAATTATTGTTTTTTTTAGTTGTTAAAAATATTAATTTTTGTACAAAATTTGTATTTTTAAGATTTTTGTAACTCTAAAACATATCTAGAAATTAAATGCGTTTTATGATTCGTCAGAAAAGTTATTTTAATATATTTTTTATACAGCAAGAATAATTAAGAATTAAAAAAAAAACAGCTTAAATAGATACAATATAAGAATCAAGTTGCTTCAGTTCCTTTTTTCGTTTTAATCTTAAGTTTTTTTTCTAATTTTTATTTCCTTGTCCATTTCCGTCTTATAAGGAAGTTCGCTCAAATAATTAATCACTGTACTTTTTTAAAAAGTTTATTTTAAAGTAAAAAAACTGCAAAAAATAGATTTAAAAATAATTGAAAATTCTTACTTAAAATTTTACGGTTTTGTTTTTGCTTCTCTCGCTTATGGACACCAAAAGGATCCCAATTTTATTAGGATCACAATGGGAGACGGGATCAGACAACCCCAAAAAATTTCTGATATTTATCGAGCCGCTAGGATCCCCAGAATTGGGGGCATTTCGCATATATATATAATCGCATTATAATCGCATTTGTATTTTTACTTTCCCGCCTTTGTTATATTATAATAGAGGGAAAGTAAGGCGATCGGCCAAAAATCGGGCAGAAGGCATACAATTATGGCATTAATTTTTAAAAAATTATGTTTAAAATATTAAAAAATGAAAGCAATTTAATATAAAGCATAGAAATTCAGAGTTAGAAATTTAATAAATAATTAAAAATAAATAAATATATATATATTTCATACCTTATTAACTCTTATAAGATTTGAGAACGTACATAAATAATGAAGACAGATAAAATTTTTGATTATCGAATAAAGTGCCTAATTTGATTTATAGGAAAATTATATGAAAATGATCTTGTGTGTTGACTATTTATAGAGAAAGTCAAAGGAGAATGATCTTTAATGGACTCGTCCAAATAAGAAGAGTGACAACATTCGTTTCCTTTAAATTTCGCTTCCTACCGCAGAATATCGTTTCAGTTTACAAAATATTAAAATTTAATATTAATATTAACGTAATTAAAATTTTAAAATGGAAAGAAAGTAAAAATTACCGAATAACTTGTTTCATATAATTAAAAAAAAAGTGTATCTTAGACTGAGAAATTATTTATTGTGACATTTCGACCTCTCGTTTCTTTGTACTGTATTTATATTAAGCAAAATTGGGAAATTTTGACGATTACAATAGCTTTATAAGTACTTAATCCATATCAACTGTTTCTTTATGATTAAAATAATAATAATAATAATAATAATAATAAGGCATTGCCCAGGAAATAAGGCATCTGTGGAGGATGGATAGGGTAGTTATTGTACCTGTTGTTCTCTCCTGTACAGGTGTGATACCACACATGCTACACAAAAGCCTGGGAACATTACAATTGAGTAGAAATACATACATCACACTACAGAAGGCCGCTATATTGAATACATGCCATATTGTTAGGAAATTCCTTAATACAGACACTGACACACACATTTAATTTTAGTTTTGTTTTGGTTGCTATGCCTTGACTCTGGTCCGGCATAGTACACAGCCACCGGTTTAAACCAAGTATTACCTACTAAACCCAACATAATAATAATAAATATTCAAAACAAATTGATTAAAATTAACCCGGATTTTTCGTTTAAACAATCTAAAGCTTCAATCATAAATCCAATCTAATTAAATTAACGATTATTATCATTAAAATGTTGTCAATTAAATTATAATTAAATGTTATAATTTGATTCTTCCTTTCTTGTAATCGCATTAGGAAAAATGCACATATTTACCTCGAATGTTGATATTTGTATTTTTATTTTCCCGGCTTTGTTATATTATAACAGAGGGAATAATGGCGATCGGTCAAAAATTGATCCCCCCCCAAGATTTTTATATTTTTTTACTCGGAAACCTAGAAACGTCGATAAATGCAAAAAGATTTGAGGAATTTTTCAGTGTGTATGGATGTTTGTGTGGGGACACGATTCTTTTACCTAATTTGTAGCTTAATAACTCATGTCTTTTTTGTCGAAAATGTCTGAAATTCTACAGGAAAGTTTGTACTAAAAGGATTGATACTATTGAATTTTGTCAGTTATAGGTCGAGAGATGGGAAGATAGAGGGAGATCACGTGTCATATGTCGAGTGGGGTCGAAGTTAATGAAAGTTTTTCTCGCTATTAGCATTTACAATCTTTTTTTGGTATAAAATTAATCTTTACTTTCAAAATTAAGCTTTTTGCTATTTTATAATAATTAATAATATAAAAGTTCTTTTATATGAAACGGAAAATAGCCTAAGACTTTCGTTTGTAACAAACATGTATTTTGCAAGAGAAAATAAATCATCACTTGAATTAAAACAAAACAAAATTTTCATATTTTTAAATGTTAATATGTAAAAAAAAAGCTGCATAAACTAATTGAAACATTTTTTTTTTTAAATTTAAGATTGTTGTTTCTAGTTCGCAGAAAGGAACTATTGACAGTTGTTTATATACAAGTAGTTTTTGTTATCCGTATATTCATTATCTACGTCCCTGTACTTCCGTGGTTCGTCGCCCGAGAAAAATATTTCTAATTATTGTAGGAGTTTAACTGAAAACAGTTTGAAATTACATAGATTTTATTTCACCTATCTTTAACAACACTGACAAAATTTTCCACTTGATGCCATTTTAATGCTATTTGTCTTTAGTTTTCTTAGTTATTTGTGAATTTATTTACTAGGTATTTTCTAGGAAATCGAAACTGAGCTCCGCGGTGTAGGTTTTTCTGTTTCGGCTTCACACGAAAACCCAAATATGGTGACGTTTTATCTAAAACAGTTTAAAACACTCAGCATCTGGGATGGCGCGCGTGAAACATTTTCATTTAGTTTAAGTTCAAATTCAGATAAAGAATTCCGTATTCATAAAAGTATAAAATGAAGAACGTGTTAGTAATTTCAAACAGAATTGTCTCAAATCATGGGTTTCCGCAGGAGAGGTCAAATGGGCACTTGCCTCTTTCTGCGATTCATTAAAACCTTCCATAAATTATAAGATGATGATTCATCTTCCCGAACACATCATTCTCAAAAAGTTCCAATTTTTATTAACAGAGAGAATACAGTGTATAATAATGAATCTGGAGTTAGTAAGGAAACGTGGCGAATTCTGCAATCCTCAGACGTTTACACTTGTGTGTACTCTTATGGTTTAATTCGAAATGATTAAAATACTGGATGCTTATATATGATTACTGGATAAATTTTCATCGATGTATCTTTTAATTTATCTCATTTATATCACCTATACTTCAGCGTACTTTGAATTAACATCATTAAACCAAACATTTTAACTTTGAGCAAATTCATTTTGTTCGATGGCGCAAGCACACCGACCAAGCAAAATGTCTTGCTGCACTCATTTTCGCTTATGCGCTGTAATCAACTGTTGCAATTTCAATATTGTATTTCAGTACCACGATGTGTTTCCACGAAGAAATGCGTGCAATTCTTATATGGCAATGGACGTGGTTGTGTCGGGAGGAATCATATAGAGTGTTTCTTTATATGATTCTTCCAGATCTTCGATTAAAACAGATAAAATACATAGAATTTAACTTCTCTGCATCTATTTCCCTAGTTTAGTTTGTTATAATCAATTACAGGAACAAATGTAAGCTATATGTGGAAAGCATCCAGTCAGCTACAAACGCCGAGGTAACGTTGGTTCATTGAACAAGGATCCAGCGTTTTCACATACTTTAGATTCGTACAACTTGTAACTAGTAATCGTATTCTGACCACTTACCTCGAATAAAAATATCTTAATGCCACTTCTCTCCAGTAAAAAAGTTTGGTTTATTCGTTTACCGCAACGCGACATGTGGATGAGTTGTCAAAGGAGGATGCCTCCTGTATAGAACTTTCTATGTAAATAGCCTTATTTAGGAGTTACAAGCGTAAAGAAAACTCGGAAAACTCCACGGGACTGGCCACGTGGAGTTTTTACCCTAAAATTAGGCTTTTTATCACTTCACGAAATATATTAATTAATAACAGAAAAGTTTTTAAAAAATATCATAATAGATGGCGCCATACACAATTTTAAATGTTGTTGCCAGGAAAGTTACGCAACTCGTTGCTGGATTTTTTTTATTTACGTAATCAGTTTTTTCGATTACGAGAGCGATTTGAACGGTATTTTGTAAAATTCTATTTTCTTTCTGTTTAAGTTTAAGAAACTTTAAAGCGCGTAATGCGCTTCAGCAACTAATAAACAGTTTATGCAAGGGAAAAGACAAGATCACACTTCTAGTTGTAAAATATTAGTAAGTTATGTTAATAGTTCAGATAAACGTTCAAAGATCTATTAGTGGTACCGGTACATGGTATTTCTGCACTGTGTAAAACACTAGAAAAAGTAGACACTTACAGAAAAATTCCAATTTCAAACATTTAAAAGCTATAAGGAATGAAACAAATAAAGAGTGGCAAGATAGTTAGTCGAACCAGTAGCGTAGCGTGGGTGTCAGCGGCCCGGGGCAAAGGAAAATTTCGCCACCCCCTTATTTAGGTATCTCAATTTAAAAAACTAAAATTCAGTTTTGTCACAGAATAAGTAATGAAAAATTCCGTGCTAGTGTTGCCACCTTTTTAAAATCGCTGCCCGGATGGCAGGTGAAGTTTGTTCGAACAGAAGTTCCTGACGCTTGCGTATGTCATTTTGCAATGCGAAGAATAATGTGCAGTGCATACCGGTTCAGTTAGCGATTAGGGAGAATTGGATAGGAGTAACGTAAGTAACCTAGATGACTTAGCTGTATTGGACATTGGAGGTGTATATGAATACGAATGATTCGTACAAGCAAAAACAAAAAAAGAAAAAGGTCAACAGGTTGTGCAGGATATTCCGGGATAAAATTACTAGTTCACCGGACGGTGAGTCGATTCCCGGACTGTCCGGGTGATAGCACTATCGTAGGCGCGACGCAAATATAGAATAGATTGGTTCAAATTTTTACATGATATTATTATTATTTATTGTGAAATTTTGCCGCTCCCTAAAAGGTAATTTTGCCACCTCCTAAAAAGTGCCGCCCGGGGCGAGCCGCCCCTGCCACTCCCACTACGCTACGCTACTGGATCGAACACCAATAAAGGATAATATACGTTCTGGCTCCTGACAAGTATTGAAGAACGAATAAAAGATTTACGATGGCTTTTAGTTGATTTTATAAGCAGCCAGTTATATACTGGACACTGCAACGGTAATGAGTACCTAAAAAGAATTGGCAGACGACAGACTGCAGCTTGTGACTGCGGTGAAGAACTGAATTTAAATCACCCATTCTTTGACTGCTACATATATGAGAGAGAAAGAACAGAACTTTTCTTACTATACCAGCAGTTCAGTAATACACCCAACCCAGACTTATATAATCTAATACGAAACAAAAATCTTACTCGGGGAACTTAAGACCTTTCCGAAGAAAATTCAAATGTTAAGGCTAGGAAGACAAGTTCCCTTTGCTAAATACCGACAAGTTGTCGGAATTGTATTGTAAAATATAAGGCAAAAATCTTGTATTAAATGTTTAATTGTTTTTTTCTATAGTTTTAGTTGTGTTTGTTAAAAAAGTTAATTTAATTTTCTGAAAGTTAAATAAAGTTCTCCTTGTAGTGCGATAGCAAAAGAAGGATGACCCTGATTCTCGAATAGGGAAAATAATGACCATCTAATGAAAAACATGTCAGCTGAGGTGATTATGCGCTAGTGTCGTTGGCCTGTTTAGCCTCACGTTGGCTGTTGTCTGCTGCCGACGGCACGTACCGGGTTTTAGGAGAAAGGCCGAAACCTTTTTGTCTTCTTCTTAATGACGTGGCATTTGCCAAAAACGATCAAGTGGTAGGGTGGCCGAGCGGTCTAAGGCGCTGGTTTTAGGCACCAGTCTCTTCGGAGGCGTGGGTTCGAATCCCACCCCTGCCAACCCGATTTTTGCGCATTTTTGAAACTCGAAGCTTTCTTTTTACCCTCCACCTTATTTCCATTAAAAATTTTTACGTTTATTTACGGTCATGTTTAACAAACGCTGATGCAAACCAGGGCTGCCGAGTCAGTAAAAAACAAACACTCGACTCCGGCAAAACTAAATACCAAGTCATTTTATGTGGGCGAGGCGCTCATAGGGGTACCCTACTCTGAACTCTGAAAGGAGCCTGGACTGTCTATCCAAATACTTTTATAGTTAGTATTTTTAATATTTAACATAATTAACATTTATTTGTATAAAAAGATTAATTTTTAACAAATATTTAATAAGAGGAGAAACGGGGCGATAAAATTCTACATCTACATATATTAGACAGCACTTAATTTCACCCTTCCAGAAGAGTTATTCCAATTAAAAGTTGTGCGATCTAGCTAGCTACTTCAGCCCCTTGTTCAGAAAAGAAAAATATGTACAGTACTCTGATCAATTAGTCTGGCTCATTCAGAAAAATTGTACTTATTTAGAATAGGGATAATAAAGGAATGATTCTAAAATATTCAAATTCAATTGGATCAAAATAATTTAACTACTAAACACAAATACTACAAAGAATACTACATATTTAATAAATTAAATTGATGCATTATGTATTTAAAATAAATGAATTATAACAAAATACAAAAAGATTTTTTAAAAATTAATAAATATATAACTATTTTACTTCTAAAGTTTAAATAAAAATAAACTAAAGTAAATTTAAAATGCGGGAGTCGGATTCGACACATTTTTTCCGACTCCGACTCCACAGCCTTGATGCAAACCGCGCGGAAACAGTTTGTCTGCAAACGTTACTATTATTTCAGTTTTCCACTGTAACGTGTAAAACTGGCAATCGCTTCAGAAATCTTTCCTATAATTTTAGATTTCTAAGCGCAAAATCGGATGTAGCGTCGATGCACGTATCGATTGCAATGTCATCGTTCTCCGTTCATCCGTTTCCGTACAAATCGACGATTTGATTTGCATACATTAATGCAAAAGTAGACGTAAAAGAACGCCTTAACTGGCAGGGGTGGGATTCGAACCCACGCCTCCGAAGAGACTGGTGCCTTAAACCAGCGCCTTAGACCGCTCGGCCACCCTACCGACTGCTTGCACTACTTACACTGTTACCAAAATTGTAATTGTCCATGCTGACTGACACTTCGAAAACACAAGGGATAAAGTTCTACAGTAACGAAGCCTTTTCCACAGAAATTGACTACGGGTAATTAATTTTCTGTGAGTATATATAGCCTCGGATTTGTTCCGTGCCGAGAGGTCTGTGGGACCACTGCAGACCCTTGACGTCGGTTTTTATTTTTATTTTATTTTATATATTATTATTATTTTTAAATATTTTGTGCGACGCAGGCCGCACAGAATACTACTGTGGGCCAGTGATTGTCCATTTAAAGCATGTATCAATAGTTTATTAAACTGTCTACTTGACTGAAATTTTGGAAAGTAAAATAATAGGAAATTTTCGTTCGTTGTCCACAGAAAGCAGTTTTCACTTAAATTAAGCAAGATAAAACATATATAAACAGTTTTATACATGATTTGCACGCTCTTCCAATAAACACTGGTGTCCGCTAGATGTAAGCTTCATTTAGATATCAATAATATTCATTAAACATAATATTTATCCCAGAAATGATATATACATCATTTCTGGGATAAATATTATGAATATACAAATGATATATATATATATATCATTTCTGAGATATGATTTTATCTTAATTTATATAAAACATAAACGTGCTTTATGTAAAGTACACCAGTAACGGAAAACAAAAAAATCCAGCAATGAGTTGCTTAACTTTCCTGGCATCATTCGATGGCGCCATCTGTTATGATATTTTATTTTAAAAACTTTTTATATTTTTAACTATTATAAAATGACAAAAAGCTTAATTTTGAGTGTAGGGATGAGTTTTAGAAAAAAAAAAATTGTAAATGCTCTTAAGGAGTAAAATCGTCATTAAGACCGACCCTGTTCGAGATATGACACACAACTCCCCTTTATCGCCCCACTCCTTCTACCTTTAATCACCCAATTTAATAGCATCAATTTCCCTAATAAGCTAATTTCCCTGCAAAATTTTCGACAAAAAAAAACAGGAGTTATTAATCTTCAAAGAGGGTGAACAAAATCGTGCTCCATACATACACACTCCCCACACATAAACATCCATAAATACAGAAAAATTCCCAAAAATCTTCGACATTTCAAGGTCCTCTGAGTCAAAATATGCTTAAATATTAAAATAATCATAACAAAACATAAGTAAAATATGTTAAAATTTTAATAACTTTTAAATTTACAGTAGATATCACGTTTATAACTTCTACAATTCATAATTTCATTTTTAAAAAAATTCGAAGTTTTGATAAAAATTCAGAATTATTGATTATACGATATTAAGAAGTTATAAAAAAAAATTTCTATTATGAATCTTGTGAGAACTGCCATTATAATTTCTATTTTAACACTTTTATAAAATATAATAAGGTATACACTGCATTAACTACATTTATTATTTCTCTTGCAATTGTTAAAAATCTGTACACAATATTTTATAAATATATATTAGATTAAATATATGCATTTTGAAACATGTTCACATTACATAAAATTACACTTTCGTAAATGTGAAATGTCGAGCAGCCGGATGTCCGAGAGGTTACTGCTATGGGGAATCCGGAAATGTATCTGAACGGGTGGAAAAACCCCAAAAATTTTTCGGAGGTGACCCGTTCCGGATATTTCGGACCCCATCCGTCACTAATTCATTAATTATTAAAATATTTTTTAAATGTTTCATATTAAAAAAAACACTTGAAAAATTGGAACAGGATGCTGTTTTCGTGATTCTAAGCAATAATACTCTTAAGTATCATTAATATTGTTAAATAACGTGAAATGAAATACGTTATTTATTTGATAATTCCAGAAATAATACAAATGATAAAAATTATAAACTGCAAACAAGTAGAAACACTCAATACACAAAATTCTCAATAATTATTGTGTCTTGCTTGATACGAACTAAAATACAGTAAACACCCCTATAAGCACTGTTGATAATTCCGTTTTATATGAATTCCATGTTGTACGAGTCACTTAGATTTTACAAATACTTGAGCCGTTCACAGCCCGGCACACGTATTTGTAAAATCTAAGTGACTCGTACAACACGGAATTATCAACAGTATTATAGGTGTGTCTACTGTACGCAATATTCGTTAGAATTGAAGAAATTGCGTTCATAAAGCACATTCAATAATAAACTAAAAATGTAGTTTTAGTAATTATGTTTTTGTCTTAATAAAAACGTTCTTTCATTTACAAACAAAATTTATAAATTTTTAAACAATAGTAGACTATAATCTATTATTGTATTGTTGAATCTATCCACTCTCTTAATCTTGCTACGTGAGTGTAGAAGCCGTACATTCCTTTTTGAGCACATCCTACACCCCAGCTAATAATACCTACTTGAGTCCAATATTTTTGACCTAAATCATTTTTCATTGGCTGCATTAAAGGCCCACCACTGTCACCTTTACATGTGTCATTTTTTCCTGAAAAAAAAAAGTATAAATGATGAAATTGTCATTTAATTTTTCAATAGATATTTTAATTCTATATTCTGGCCATTTTTATTTTTAAAACTCGCTACATTTACGCCACTATACTATACAATTTTAATACCGTAAGAAATATTTACCTTTTCCTGCTCCTGCACAAAACATGGTTTCCGTGAATTCATATTTGCCATTTAAACTATTCTTGCAAGTAATATCGTTTTGTATTGGCAATTCCACTCGTTTTAAATGTTTAACAGGCCTTAAATCTACGGTCGCACGTGTAGGTTTGTCATAACCCCAACCAATAGCAACTGCTCTCTCACCTTCTCGATAAAATTTTGAATTTTCGGGTAATTCTAAAGAAAAACAAGTAAGTTAAATTATAAAATAATAATAAAGATTATAAAGTATAATTATATAAGAAAACCTACTTGAATCCATTGGTGGTAAACAGATTGGTCGTACATACATATTAAATTCTGCTTCTCTGCTTAATTGAATCAATGCGATATCGTAGTGATGAGTCTTTTTATTGTAATCAGGATGAATAATATAATTTTCTATTCTTGTTTCTTGTAGATTAGAACGATTATTGACATTAAGCAAACCTGGAAAATTTCATTAAACGTCACGTAAAATTATATGTATGTAGTTCTGTAATTTCATTTCAAATGTTTAAATNGAGTCTTTTTATTGTAATCAGGATGAATAATATAATTTTCTATTCTTGTTTCTTGTAGATTAGAACGATTATTGACATTAAGCAAACCTGGAAAATTTCGTTAAACGTTACGTAAAATTATATGTATGTAGTTCTGTAATTTCATTTCAAATGTTTAAATATTAAGTTTTATTTTTATTCAATTGAATATAATCAAAATATCTGATGTGTTAGAATTATATGTTCATGTAAACGTTATAAAAAAATCCAGCAACGAGTTGAGTAACTTCTCCAGCGAAAAAAACACTAAGACACATTACCGCAAACTTAAATTTGTGTGTAGTGTAATCAGTTATGAGATTTTTATAAAAACTTTTTATATTATTATTATTATTATAAAATGATAAAAACCTTAATTTTTAGGGTAGAGTTGAGTTTTATAAAAATTGTAAATGCTAATAACAAGTAAATCCTTCATTAAGTTCAACTCCTCTCGAGATATGACATATGACCCCTCTCTTGACCTTTAACCACAAAAATTTAATAGCATCAATTTCCCTTATAAACGAGCTACCAAGCAAATTTCGTTTCTTAAACTTTAATGAACACTTTTGTTACTTTTTCATACTATGAAAGTATTTAAGAAATTTAAACCATTTAAAATGCAATATTTTTGCTTAGGTAAACTTTTGTCTATAGCTCTCTCTCATCAAATATAATTTATAAGATATAAGACACAATATAGAATTTAAAGCTTTTTAATAAAATTATTTATACTTACCTAACTTAATTATTATGTTTTCTTTTGGTATTAGATTTTTTTGTCGATCGTAGAAGCAATGAGCTGCTGACAGGACCCATAATTTGTCTATTAGAGAACCGCCGCAATGATGCTGTAATGAGAAAAATACATAATCGTAACGAATTTCTATAGTGAGAAAAAATATTTCCATAAGGGAAATCGGTGTTTTTGATCTTCATAACATTTGCTATGTTGTTATATTGTCAGATCCGGGATTTGACATTGTCACAACGTAGCAATAAGAAAATTACATACAGTTTCAAAAGGCAAATTAACAGGAATTTGATTTAACACTATAATTATTAATTAGTTCTAGAATAAATAAAATTTTATATTAAATACTTGCCTCAGATTTCCTAGAATCTGCATCCACTAAATTTAGTGATGCCATCCAGGGCCAAGGATTTACGGCTTTTCTTCCACCCACTGCTCGTCCGAGATCCTTTTTACTATTTTCTATAACACTTTTCTGAATTCCGCATGTAGAATAATCTGAAACATTTCAAATTATTTACTGATACCGTAATGTATATATAAAAGTACAGGCTACTTATTCTTGTCTATTATATTAATTCAATTCAAAAAATATTAAGAATATATTTATTCTTCAAAAGACAGAGATGATTTTCTAGTTTTATAGCCAGAATTCCGTCTTAAATATTTTCACAATGAATTTTATTTAAATTTGAAACAAAATATTAGGGTACATGGTGTATAATGTTTCAAGGGATGAAATAGTCCTCATTGGTTTCAAGCTTTACAACTAGGAAATTAGTTAATTACATTGATTCTAATAACTTATAAAGAAAACCACTCTTACCAACAGAGCCATTAATGAGCTGTTGCACTAACCAACCCATAGTATCATAAGAATCTAAGATAAAGATATGTTCTTCTCTAGTAGAAGCTATATCATACAATGTCTTCATATTTCTATCTCCAGTTATCGCAATACAATATAATTCCACGCCACTGTTTTTCAAACTTTCGGCATCTTTCATTGGGTCTCCCTCCATATTAGCCTTACCTGAAATTTACAACACAAAATTCAATTAATTCAAATTGGTTTACGGTATATAAAATAATAGAAAGAATATCACCATCTGTCATTAAAAATGCTATTGGCTTTTGTTCTCCTCCTAAACTTGCTTCTGTCAAAGGAATCATTTGTTCATGTAAGAGATGAAGAGCCAATCTAGTAGCGGTTCCTCTTCCTTCTAAAGTAAAAATATTTATAAATCATTAAATTAATTATCCAATATATAAAATTAATCTGTAATTATACTTACTTGAAAATTTTATTTCGTCTAATGCCTGAATTACTTCTTCAGTAGTCGAATAAACCATTGGGTAGAATACAATATCAGCTGTATCACTGAAAGTCATTACTCCCACTCTACTTCCATCTTTACTAACTCCAATCTAAATATTATAATGCAAATATATAATATAATGCAAATAAAAATAATTTAAAAATTATTTTTAGAAATGATTTATTTACTTTTTCGATTAATAATTTAGCAAAATTAATGCTTATTTGAAAGTTTTCGCTGCCAATACTTCCAGACATGTCGAAAATAAAATAAAATATCAAACGATGAGGATGATTAAAATTAATAGCTCGAGAAAGTGCATCAGAATCATTGCCATTTTGTGCCAAAATTTCTTCTTCGTATTTTTTCAAACGAGTTTCTTGTTCCTTTTTTTCGACAAATATTAATTCTTCCAAACGGACACTAATAGATTCTTTCTGGTCGAAATCGTTCTCATCTGTAATAGAAATATTTTCTCATTTCTTAATTTTAAATGTTAAAGATTACATTTGAAAAATTAAAAAATATCAACTATAAATTATTTTTCTTACGTATTAAATACTTTCAATATTACGAAATACAAAAATCTGTTTCGTGTAATAAATTATTTTAGATAAATAAGATTTATTACATTGTAATTTTCCCAACGTTTCATATACATCCCAACGATCATCATCATATTATATAGGATTTATTAGGAAGAAGGATATTCAAACAATTATGGAAGATGATTCCTCAAGAAGAGGAATAAAATTTCGTACAATCGTTTATTTTGTATTTAATAGATGGATTTTATTTTATTTAAATTTAAAAATAATTGAAAATTTCTGATGATAAATACACTCATATTTTATTCTTATATCATCTGAAATTTTCAATGAATATTGAGAATTGTAATTTTCAATTTTACGACTCAAAGCAATGTAAGTTACGGATCAAATCAAGCTTGACTGCTAATATATTACGAATAAATTCCCTGATGTTTCTTTAGTAATTTTTAAAATCAATTAGCTAAATGGAAACAATATCCAATTAATATTGTCCCTTCTTTATTCCCAACTTATTTCCCCCTTAATTTTTAACGACTGTGCACTAGGTGAGATTTTCCGTTTTCTTATTACACATATCTTCGCTTCTTTCAAATTCTCTATCATAAAATAATCTTACACTCTATTAATAGTATATTGTTAATTGGTAGGTGACACAGAAGAGAGTTGTGCTTACAGAAACACCGAGTTCAAATTTGATACTGCTCTCTTTCCGAGAAACCCTTTTAAAGTGGAAGAATTCAACAAGAACAGAATGAAACAAAAAGCAGTATTGGTTATATAACAGAAACGTGTTCCTGTTTTTACAATAGCTAAAAATATTTTTTACCTAAGCACGTAACATCGGATCCGGACCATTCTCCGTTGTTTTGGCATATCCTTCTTTTGGAACCGATTAATTGTTTGCCAGATTGGCATTCAAATTCTACCACGTCTCCAACTTTGTAGTAACCTTTACCAATTTTCATTCCATTTATGGGAGTACCGGGATTAGGACAGTCATTTTCTGAAATAATTAATCTAATTTGCTTAACTTACAAACTTAGAGAAATAAATATTTTATCTTTATTTATAAGAACATATTGCATATAGTAATGCCCTATTATTTACCTTTAGAATCACATCTAGCTAGTTCTCCACTCCATTTTCCATTAGGCATACATTCTCTCCTGGCAGAACCAAGTAATTGATATCCAGAATTGCATCCAAATTCTATTACATCTCCTATGTTGTAAGAATCTCCCGTCTTCCACCCACCTTCGGGTGATAAAGGATCGGGACATTGTATCTCTAGAAAGATACGGTTAGAATAAAAATTCTATATAATACAGTAGTTATATTCCGAAAAGTGTCGTGTTTTACGAATCTTTAACCATTTAATATTATAATTTGACTTACTTCGACATGTGGGAGATTGATTGGTCCAACCGTTTTCGCCGCAGGAAGTCCAGCTATTTCCAATTAGCAAATATCCTTCTTTACAACCAAAACTCACTTCGAATTCGTACAGGAAAACAGTTTCATTTGTTTGGTGAATAAATCCATTTTCTGGTATGTTTGGAAGATCGCATTCGATTTCTAATTATCATCTTTCATTTAAACATGATCGTGTAGGAAATTATGATAATTAATTTCAGTTTACTATTACAGTCACTAATACATTAACACGATTTCATTAATTAATTACAAAATTATTTAAATTAATAACAGTTAAAGGATAATGTCAACAACTATGATATTTTCCTATGTATTTTTTGTTCGTATATTGTAAAAAATGATGGAACTTCGGTATTTTCAGCCTGTCTTCATTATTTCCAATTGAAATTTTCCAGTCAATCAAAAGCATAATTTTAATATTTTATTATAAATTTTAATTATTTTATATTGTGTTTAGAAGAAAAATGCACTTTACTAGCCTTAAGACTAAATATTATGATAATATATTATTTAAATTATTTGAAAAAAAAGAGATTTTATCCCTTTTCCTATAACATTAATATCAAATACTTGTTCTACCTGTTCGTCAAACATGATTAGTTATACTTACAATATCAATACTATAACTTAGCCCAATGACAATACCAATGACAGCTTTATTTGAAACGGACTATGCCATCGGTTTGCTTATCCAGCTATATTAAAGTCACTTTACTGGGCAGCACGTCCATTAATACAGTTTACATCAAGGATTGATGTATTTTCTGCATTATATATAGGCCTATCTTTAATAAAAACAAAACCAAAATAAAAATCATTATATACAATAATGATAACCTCTAGACATCACATCATTTCAACAAATTTTATCTCTACGCAAATATTTTGTAACGTGCAGAAGATATCTGCATATCTTATAAATTAAACCATCGGCATTAGAAGTCTTTCTAGTTTTAAATCTAATTATTGCATACAACTCTCAGCTTTTTGATCAATTCAATTAATTAAATTAATTATTTTAATAATAAGATGTTCAATTCTTTGATATACTATTTATTTTGATGTAGATAGTATAATTTTTTAAAATCAATAACTTTAAATAGTCAGATCAAGGCTTTATCAAGAGTTGTGGGCTATTACTTAAAGATTAATTAAACTGCAAAATTTCAATGTAAACTGAACCTGCTTAATATTAATTAAAATAAAATTAACTGTGAAATAAGTTATAAAAGGCTCAATTCAATCACTTCTAACGAACTACACTAAACTACTAAACGGCCATTGATTGATTTTTCTAATTGTTGTAGCATTTATACTACTTAAATTACTTTTTTACTAATGGTTAAATTCACAATCCACATCCTGAAATGCTACAATATATTATATATTTTAAATAATTATCCGATTATATTTATCAAACAAAATGTAAGCATAATTAAATAAATCTTTTAGTATATGTTATGCAGCTAAATTACCTATACAAATAGGAAATTCGTCATCCCAATTTCCGTCTTCACAGAACAAAATATCGCTTCCGTTACTGATTCTATATCCTTCTTCGCATTCAATAGTTATCTGATCGTCGATTTGATAAAAGTCTCCCGATTTCTCTCCAACAATTTTTCCATGCGGAATTTCTTCGGGAACTGGGCAAAATACTTCGGCTAAAAATATATTTATTTCAAAATAAATACATGAAAATAATTCGAAAAAATCAAAGAAAACAAAATAATTATCAATTTTTTTTTTGTTTTACTTTTATATTGCAGCACGAAAAAAGATGATAACATCATTTTAATATGAAATTCTAAATTAATATTGTTTACAAAATATTATAATGACTAGAACTTACGTTGGCAAAGCGGTCGTTCGTTGCTCCAGACTTCAGACAAACATTCAATTGTTTTCTCTCCTATAAGACTAAAACCGGGTTTGCATTCGTAATCAATAACACTCCCTTTATTACAACATTCTCCATAATAATATCCATCAGAAGAAACGCCGGGATGTTCACATTTTGGTATGACTGTTGACACAGAATCGGAAAATTGAATCAATATCCTAACATTTCCATATATATATATATATATTAATAATTTACGTTTACAATTATGATCTTATTTCTATTTAATTGAAATATTAAAATAATCTCCGCGGTAATTCACCTGTACAACTCGGTACTTCTCCATCCCAAATCAAATCAGAACCGTTTTTAATGCAAATTAATTCATCTCCGTTCATTTCATATCCGATGTCACATTGATAATTTATTCGGGTTCCGATTGTAAAATATCTCGTATTCAATGGTATAAGAGCTTCTGCGTGTTCAACAATGGGTGGAGAGTGACAGGATTTAACTATAAAAAACAATATTTTTTTGAGTGAAGCATCTTGTTTTTCTTTGTATGCTTAGATTATTTTAAGCAATAACTCACCAATACATTCTGGCAATGGAGGAACCCAATTGCCAAGTATGCAAATGCTCTTTTCTTTTCCTTTTAATTCAAACTTGCTTTTACATCGAAATTTCAAAATTGTTTCTTCAGGAACTACTTCAATGTTTGGTGGGAATCGAGGAAAATATTTTCCATATTGAAAATTTTTTGGCAAAAGGCAACAATCGTGACATTCATTAAGCAATTCTTCGTTAATATCGGTACTTAAGACTAAAATTTAAATAATTTCATATCAGTATATAAATCTATGTATATATAATTCATCATTAAAGTTTGTTTTGTTTCAATAATTATTATATAAATAAATAAAAAGATGAATTTTTACCTTTCGCACTTGTAAGAAATATTGTTAAAATCCATAACCAATTTCTCATTTTGTCTGTAAATAAAATTTTAACAATACTTTATGTACGGTATCTATAAACGTATTTATAAATACATCATAATAGGTAGCTATCAAAAGAAAAATTATAATTTATTAATGAATATATGAATATTAAAATGTATTAATAACTGTAAAATATGTACAAATTGAAAATTACATAATTTTAATTATATTTTCTTCCTATTCTGCTTTCTCTGATTTTATATGGGTTTGTTAATTATACTTTTTTCATTGTATTATTTATGTATTACATATTATTTTGTTGACAAATTACATTTTGAACATTCTTTTTTAAGTCTAAGTTAGTAATTATTTAGTTTTAAATTTGACTAGTACAAGAACTTGTCTATTATATTTTATACTGTAATTCATACACAGTAACAAATACCAGGGCCATCGAAAGCATGGTATGGGACCCGGAGTAGAGAAGGATGCCTGCCCGTTAGCAACAAGGGCAAAGGCCCTTGTTGCTAACTTAGGCCAAATTACTAATATTATTAATTAGAAACGACTAAGGACTTAAATAGATATGGGGCCAATAAGACCCTCTTCAAGAGAAGATTGTCGAAAATTTCCGACAATAAGCAGTGTTTTTGCGGAAAAATGAAATTGTTTGGTGTCTTGTATCCTTCTACTAAAAGAAACAAACTACTGGATAAAGTACATTGTTTAATTGATAACTTATGAAACTTTATATTAATTTTTAATAATATTTTATCGATTTATAACATGAATACATTGTAAATTATTAACAGAATGTTATTTCTGTTAATAAAGCTGGCAAGACTTCAAGCAAGACTTCCTCGGCACTAATAATTTTATAAAGTTACGTGAACGCCTTATGTTCTGAGATTTTATTTTAAAATAATCTTTATATATTATAATAAAAAAGGAAAAAGTCTTATTTTGAATATATGGATGAGTTTTTTTTAATTATAAATGCCAATAATGAGCAAAACTTTCATTACGTTTGATTCCATTCCAGATATGACACGATCCCCACCCCATGAATCTTTAACCACCAAAATTTTATAGCATCAATGCACCATATATAAAAATAAACCTAATAAGTTTCAAAATTTTTGGTTCCTTCAGTTCTGAGATATAATACAAAATAAACGCTCCATCCACACACAATTTTTTAAGAAATTTTTTTTACATTTTTGGGTTCCTGGAATGTCGAGAAATGCAAAAAATTGAGATGTCAAAATTCGACAGATCAGCAATGCTATCTATAAACTGTATATAAAAGTTCAAAATATATAAATGTATGTGTGCTTGTATATATATTTGTTAGGCAAAGATTCAGAAAGAATGATCTGTTGAAGTAAAGACTACTTCGTCATCTTAAAAACTTTTTTCGTCCATGTTTAAAACTTTTAATTCTACAGTTTATTATATAATTTTTGTAAAGAATATTCATTTCAAAATTGAACCAAAAAAGTTGCGTTTTATATTTCACTGTTAAATAAATATATAAAGGCAATCGGATCTAAAAACAATATTTATACAATGTAGCTTGATTGCTCAGATCTTATAAAGCAACATTCTAAAAATAACTAACTTGTTGACTTTGCTACTTAGCATTATGCCATCACCATTCTGGCTCGTTTTAATTATTAGCCTACAGTTAGATCTATGCAAAATTGCTAGATGTGTTACTTTCTATCATTATTTGCCTTTATACATTGAATAAATTATATTAAAGTGTAGAAATAAACGATCAATAAACCCAGGACAAATCACTGATAGTAACACTTAAATAGAATGAGTTTCCTATAAAAGACCTCCGTCTAGCACAGGGCTTCTTAAACTATGGGTCGCAACCCCATTTGGGGTCGCTTAGCGAAATCTTGGGGTCGCGAGATTTTAATGAAAAATATTGAAAATAATTTGTGAGAGTTTGAAAATGGCAAGCTTTGTGTCATAGGTTTCGTGAGTTGCTCTTTGTGTCACTTCTGGTGCAGGGAGACAATGATTCAGTAACACTGATTATAGTGTGAACTAGTGCAGTGTTGTCGCTTTTCAGTGTATTCAGTTGTCTCTGTTCCAAGGTAATCAGGGCTGTGGAGTCGGAGTCAGAGTCGTCAAAAAATCCGCCGACTCCGACTCCTTTTTACTTACCAACTTGTTATGTATATAAAACGGAAAAGTATTGGAATCGTGTCAAATTTGACCCTCCAAGTTTTTTTTTTGCAAATCTACACGTTTGGAGAACTCCCGAACCCCTCAAAAAAGTCAATAAAGGGGAANTTAACTCAAGCATTTTTATGGTCAAACAATCTCTTAATTGTTATACTCGTATCAGTATTAACAGGTTTTAAAAATATATTTAATGAATTAAATGTTAAAAATTAAAAGATATGTTAATAAACTTGTTTCTTAATTTATATTACAGAAATATTTAGAAGAAAAGTTAGCGTTAGATGTAGCAAATTTGATAAATGTAAAATGGCAAAAGTGGAGACGATTTTTTCATTCTACTGTATATTTATCTTATTCGGAAAAGGAAAATTTAGTAGTGTTAAAGGAAAATTGTGTTTTTTAAATAATTAAGACAATTATTGTATAAACAAATTAGAATGTGAATAAAATAGGAAAGGAATAACTATGGAAATAAAAAACAAAGATGCAAGTAGATATGATGAAAATATTTAGGTGTAGCCTATATGTAGAATAACATTGAAAGACAGATTACTTTTAACGAGAAATGTAGTTTAGGTGAGATATATACAGTATTTGCAGTAAATTAAAAGAAGATATTCTTAAATATTAGATCATATTATAAGGGGTCATGAAACAGAGTTTCTACAGAGCATATGAAACTTGGATGTATGGTTTAATAATGGTACGAGTATGACAAATAAATTATGATTGATATTAAATTGAGGGTAATTGGAAGAATTATAAGTTATGGCAGAGAAAGAGAAGAAACTAATTAACAGTAGGATAGGTAGGAAACTGTAAGAACAAAACCCGACCTCATATATTACTTGAAACAAGGAAACGATGAAAATGATGATGATACAGTATTATATTTATGCTTAATTTAGTAATGAATATTGCAGTTCTAAGCAATGTTTAAAAATAATAAAAAAAGATGTTATATTAAGTTTATTTTGATAAATTTGTGTAATTATATTGTCAAAAATTAATTTAGTTTTCCCTTTTTCTGATAAATTTTAAATTTTATACAATCAATGAAAATTTGTATAGCCTATATCTTTATTTTATATTTTTTGGGTCGCGAAAAAAATCACAATCATAAATGGGGTCGTGAATAAAAAAAGTTTAAGAAGCCCTGGTCTAGCAGATCGTCCACGTGTCGAGTTGACGTCTATGAATTAAACAAAACGGCAAGTGATCACTTTCTTTGTTACAATTTCGCATTTAATAACTTTTATACTGGTAATAACGGTGTTTTCATTTTGTAGCCATTCTATACGTAAATCCGACTCTGTGATTAGACGATTATCAATGAAAAAATATTGCTCTATATTGTTTTTATTGACCTGTGTAGTATAAATATGTCGTAGTAAACATTTCACCAAGATGTAGTAATTTTTCTGCTTCTAACCTGTCTTTCCAGTCAAAGAACTCTGTGTGTTGAGAATTGTAGAAATATGCTGAATGAGCCGAGGATTGCTGACTTTGACCTATGTAGACAACGGATAAATATTTTTCCTGTACATCTATCGATGTATGATCTTTATAAGGTAATAAAAAAGCAGAAATTTAAACTGCATTTAGTAAGTTTGTGCCATTAGTAGGCGTACCCAAAAGCGAAAATGAAGTTAACTTCTGAGAAGCTGCTCGATCCGGAATAAACGTTATAATTTCATTTTTATAATAAAGTTAAAATAAATTAAATATATAAAAATTAACAAGAATAAAATCAATTTAACACGAAGATTACAATAGTTCCTCAGTATGATTTTTGGTGTCTTTGAACGTGGTTGTCTCCTTTCGTGTTTCCTCTAATAAGTTTATTTTTATTAGTAAAATACTATAATTAATTAATTAAAATATCATATTTTCAATTAATAATTAAATCAATAATAGTTAGTAAATGTAAAACGAGTCGGATTATAATTAACGTAAGTGGTATTAGTGTATACAATTTTATATGTGACCTCGGGAACCTCAGGAACCTCAAGATATGTTCAGCTTATGTTAAAATCGCTAAATATTCTAATAAAGTTATAATACCATATTATATTTTGATTTATCTATAAATATTAGATTCAGATAATCATGTAGAAAATAATGTTTAAATTAATTAACACGCGATATAAAGACATCATTATTATCAGTAAACAAGAAGACATAGTCACTTATCAATAGTGAGATAACCTACGGTCAAGTTTGCATCATAGCGTATCTAATATTATGGCTAGAAGACATTCATAAATTATTAAGAACGAAATAATTCTTGTTTCTTAGAAGTATGATGATGAGTGTCATTAGTATATTTTCTAATAAATAATAATAAAATTTAGTATTATTCAACAACGTAAACAAAGAATACGAATAGTGTAGTGACAATATCAATCCACAGTTAATTTTAGTAAAATAAATTCAAAACATATGTATAAGATGTCAACATTTTTGCAATAAAGTTATAAAATTGTGCAAATCTTAAGATGTCCTCTGAGATTATTAAAATTACTTATGGATGTTATCTGTGTGTAGGCTATAAAATGTTATTATGTTATAAGAAACTATTACTAACATCAGCAAACAACATTAATAATAGAAATAACAATTGGCCCAGCTCTGAGGCGATAAAGGCACAATCCCTCTGGGACTCATCAGTAGCCGAGAGGATACTGATGGACCCCACAGTGGAACACTGGTCGTGGGTTCATTCTTCACCAACGAACTAACCATGGTTTTCCTGGTTTTTTCACGTTAGTAACACCTAAATAGGGGCCAATTTCTCAAAAAAAAGAAAAAAAAAAGACCTCCCGGGAGGCAGATCATCCATGTGTCGCGTTACCATATACGAATAAACCAAACCCTACCGCCTGGGAGAACAGCTTAAAACCCAAATTTCTATATGTAGCTTCACTCGAATAAGCTTAATTCCAACCCTCATTATCCGAACGTCTATATTGAATATTAATTTGTGGGAATCAATCTTATTAACTCAAGCATTTTTATGGTCAAACAATCTCTTAATTGTTATACTCGTATCAGTATTAACAGGTTTTAAAAATATATTTAATGAATTAAATGTTAAAAATTAAAAGATATGTTAATAAACTTGTTTCTTAATTTATATTACAGAAATATTTAGAAGAAAAGTTAGCGTTAGATGTAGCAAATTTGATAAATGTAAAATGGCAAAAGTGGAGACGATTTTTTCATTCTACTGTATATTTATCTTATTCGGAAAAGGAAAATTTAGTAGTGTTAAAGGAAAATTGTGTTTTTTAAATAATTAAGACAATTATTGTATAAACAAATTAGAATGTGAATAAAATAGGAAAGGAATAACTATGGAAATAAAAAACAAAGATGCAAGTAGATATGATGAAAATATTTAGGTGTAGCCTATATGTAGAATAACATTGAAAGACAGATTACTTTTAACGAGAAATGTAGTTTAGGTGAGATATATACAGTATTTGCAGTAAATTAAAAGAAGATATTCTTAAATATTAGATCATATTATAAGGGGTCATGAAACAGAGTTTCTACAGAGCATATGAAACTTGGATGTATGGTTTAATAATGGTACGAGTATGACAAAGAAATTATGATTGATATTAAATTGAGGGTAATTGGAAGAATTATAAGTTATGGCAGAGAAAGAGAAGAAACTAATTAACAGTAGGATAGGTAGGAAACTGTAAGAACAAAACCCGACCTCATATATTACTTGAAACAAGGAAACGATGAAAATGATGATGATACAGTATTATATTTATGCTTAATTTAGTAATGAATATTGCAGTTCTAAGCAATGTTTAAAAATAATAAAAAAAGATGTTATATTAAGTTTATTTTGATAAATTTGTGTAATTATATTGTCAAAAATTAATTTAGTTTTCCCTTTTTCTGATAAATTTTAAATTTTATACAATCAATGAATTTTGATTTCAATATTTTTGTTCTATAAATTATTGACGGAATGTTAAAAACTGATTTAAAAATAACAGGAATAAATTAGATTCACTTAACTTTAAAATGTATAAATTAGATCTATAAAAGAAAATTGAATCACTTAGTCAATTGAACTATTCAGCAATGATGGGACGAAATGTAAAATCAAATTTAATCCTTTGTTTTTTTTTTTATTGATAGCCCTATTCGGAGTTTATTCTTTATCCTTTATTATAAGTTATCTAATACCACTGTGAATCAAGTTCTGCGCCTCATAAGAGCAAACTTGCCGGCCGTATAACTCTCACTATGCCATATTTTTTGCCAATTTAAACAACTGTTTATTAATGTTTTAAAATAATCTATAGATAATTGAAAATCTATTCGTCACTTATTTTTTCCATGTCCATCATGGGTTCGAACGGGTCCGTAATAGGTGTTCCCGAACGATGAAGGATCTATGAAAGATGTCTAGAAAATTGCTCACCCGAGCCAGTTTCGGATCCCCCAAAGAGATATGCTAATTCCTTAATCGCATTCCTACCATTAGTTCGAACGTTTTTCCGCTATTTTGTTTGTTCATATTTATCAATTTGTAATCTAATTTGTCTTTTTTCTATTGTGACTCATTGCTAAATTATCGTGTTTGTAAACAAACCAGCTTCTTCGCTTTTTTTTATTTGTGTCATATTCGACTGCAGCATCCTAGTAGTTCATCGCTAGTAATAGTTTTATCGATGAGCACTACGACCTTATTATTTATAAAAATACAAAAACTTGCGGTAAGATAAAATACAAGGAGTATATTTCTATTAAAAAACAGCCTGCTCGATTCACGTTCGGCACAAATTTCACTCTTCTATCTCATCGTTTAAATCCTCTCTTCATATTCATATTCAAATTAAACTTAATTTATTTCACATATAAATATTATTATATAATTTAATCTAAATTGAATTTGTATTAATTATAAATGAATACTCACTCAGAATGATTTTCATTTTTCTAAATTTGAAGATCGACTAAAAAAATCTGGACTTTGTAGAGCTTGTATATTAATTAAATGTATTCCCTGATTGTAATCACTACTCAGAAATAATTATTTATATTAATTCGTTTAAAAATCATTTTATTCCTAGTATAAACTATTAATGAATTATCCAAAACGTCATTTCCATGTTTTGTTATTGGTCGAGATCTTAAAACTTTTTTTTTTTTTTAAACTTTATCACGTGTCTTAGATAGAAAATCAAGAGTTCAAGGTACATAATTGCTAAATCTGAATCTGTACACTGTCGTATACAACAAATATTTATTTCTGTAATGTATTCAACTAATATAAAATTTCTAAATTATTATAATATATTTATTAATTAAAAAAATAAAAATTTAGTACCTTAAATTATGTTTAAATACATGACTTATGTAACGTATTAATTACGTACTGTAGTACTTCCTTCGAATTTCCAGATGGGAAATTCGTAGGAAGTACGTAATTAATACGTAGTTTAAAGTTTCATATTGCTGTTTACATTTCGAATTCTACTTTTTATATAATCGTATACAATTTTTTTTAAATGAATTTCTTGTAATTTTAATGTTTAGAATATTAGAAAAATTCGAATAATGGATAATTTTATTTCGTCAAATGTTACGTTTTGAATTTTATTTTTACTTTTTTTTTTTCTTGGGAGGAAGGGAAACGTTGTAAATTGTGATAATTGGTTACAATGAACATCTCTTAAAAATGATTATTTACACAATTTGTTAGATGCTTGTTCAGTTCATTGTTATAGAGTAGGCCTGTATATACAGTAGACTACAATAGTAATATGTGAAAATGAAGGTGTGATCTGTCGTAAATTTCGTGTGTAAGTTTTTAACAGATTTTGACAAATATATAACTACTCTGTTAGTGGTAATCCCTTCTCGAAAAGCGATATCGGCGATGGTACTATTGCTATTAGAGATGAAGTCGTACTTTATTTAGACTATTACTTTCTTTTATTTATCTTTAGTTCCTATTTCACAATTATTTTCGTTTTCTATACGTCACAGTTAGCTCGTTTTTTGATCATAAACTTTAAACACACAGTTTAATAGTGAGAGAGTAATGAGAGAGAAATATACTCTTATAATTATTAATTCTGTGTTTCTTCTCATTACTGTGTGTTCGAGAAAATATATATATTGAAATCAGTTTCAAACACTTTTTATACATAAAGAATTCTCGGGAAATTCACTTCTTACTTGGAAACACGAGTTTCGGGAAAAGAATTCGCGGAATGACACAGTACAGTACCTGCACGAATGTCATGCATGCCATCTCCTTAATTTGTCATGCCAAATTAAGCACGTGGTTTCAAATTTTTGTAGACAATGGATTCTAACAGTAAAATAAACTACTAATTTCGAGACAATATTATAAAACTTAGTTGTAAAATATAAAAGTATTTTAGAAAAGTTTAAAATATCAAGTAATACTTATAGAGAGAAATAGGGCTGTGGAGTCGCATAAAAATCTACCGACTCCAACTCCGACTCCGACTCCGACCAGGGGCGGACTTGTTAACCGAAAGAGACAAGGAAATTCTGATGTCATCACGTGACCTCAGAATAAAAGATTCAATAAATAGAGTTCTAATAAAGATAGAACGTAGAAACTTTTTATTCCAAAGCTAAAAGACTCCTCTTAGTAATCTAAATATATAAAATTGCTTGTCCTGACTGACTGAATGACTCACTCATTCACTCACTGATTCATCATCGCCCAGAGCAAACCGCTGGACCTAGAGAGATGAAATTTGGTACACAGTTAGGGTACGTCATTAAAACGCACACTAAGAAGGGATTTTTCGAAATTCCCAAGTGGGGGGAGAGGGAGAGCATTAAGGATTAACCGGAAAAACGGCTTCTACTGTACTATTTTAGATGCTATTTTTTGTTTTTATCTGTGTTTTAGTGGGATATGCCATGGGAATGAACACTAAGAAGGGATTTTTCGAAATTCTCCCGCGGGGAAGAGGGAGAGGATTAAGGCTTAACCGGAAAAACGACTTCTACTGTACTATTTTAGATGCGATTTTTTCTTTTTATATGCGTTTTAGTAGAGTATGCCATGGGAATTCACATTAAGGAAGGATTTTTCAAAATTCCCACGCGGGGGAGTGGTAGAGCATTAAGGCTTAACCGGAAAAACGGCTTCTACTGTACTATTTTACATGCGATTTTTTGTTTTCAACTATGTTTAGTCTTTAATGAGTACTTAGGTGTATTAAATTGATAACGTTTCAGACATTGTTATAAATATTTTTATCTATTTCGATTTTAAAAATGTTCGATCCGTTTTAAATTCAAATTTGTTATTGCATATTGGTTCGATTATAGAACGATTGTAAACGTTCCAGAAAATTGATCAAATTGAAAATAGTTCGTTTGATTCTCGGCAATTCTCTTCAGCAGTAGATGTTATATAGACCTAACGGTTACTATGGTTATTGAAATATTGAATGTAAATGGGGTTTGCTTGCAAAACCTCCGCGGACGAAGTCGCGGGTAACAGCTAGTATATAAATATGTATTCGATAACTTTTACTTTTCCGGCTGTTATATATAACAGAGGGAAGGTGTAGCGATCGGTCAAAAAAATGATCCTTCCCAAATTTTTACATTTTTGGACTCAGGACACGTTGAAATTTCGAGATATGCAAAAGATTCGAGGTTATTTTCTATATGTGTGTATGTTAGACTGTGTGGGGGGCATGATTTCGTTCACCCTGTTTGAAGCCTAATAATTTCTGTGGTCAGAGTGGTTGGAATCGGAGTCGGATGGTTTAACATGGGAGTTAATTATTAATTAAGCGTCAAAGTGGTTGAACTAAATCGTTTCCCCATATACATTCTAACATCTTAGGCGAGAACATCTTAACGGGTTTTACTGTACTATTATGAAATGACAAAAAGTTTACTTTGAGGGTAGAGACAAATTTTATTATTTTTTAAATTTTGTACGCTAATAACGAGTAAAATATTCATTAAGAGATATGACACATGACCACTTTTATATCTTCACTCTGTCGACCTGTATTTAAGAATTGTAATTAAGAACCAAAATTTAATAGTATTAATGCCCCTTTATACGCAAGCTACAGTGCCACATTTCGTTTCTTAAACTTTACCCATTCTGCGATATTGTTTAATATCTCAGAACAGAAAATAAAGAAGTCAGGCAAATTAGACGCCAAAACATACACGCCTGAGAATTTTTCCTCTGAATTTTTATTGACTTTTTGAGGGGTTCGAGAGGTCTCCAAACGTGTAGATTTGCAAAAAAAAAACCTGGAGGGTCAAATTTGACACGATTCCAATACTTTTCCGTTTTATATACATAAGAAGTTGGGAAGTAAAAAGGAGTCGGAGTCGGCGGATTTTTTGACGACTCCGACTCCGACTCCACAGCCCTGGAGAGAAATATAAATAACGAATAGAAACAGAATTTTATCATATTTTAATTTAAAAAATTACGTGATTTCCGATACAAACCAGAAGTTTGTATATAGTTAATCACAGTATAATAATGAACTGAACAAGCATCTAACAAATTGTGTAAATAATCATTTTTAAGAGATGTTCATTGTAAGCTTTCCATGTCTGTCTCGATTTTCATCCGACTCCATTCTCAAGATTAAGGAAAAACGAACGGACAGACGGAAACAGTGGAAATCTACAGGTCTACAATTTTAAAAAGTGCAGCTAGAAAATGTAATAATAATGTAAAATAACGCTAAAAATTTCTACGTACAGCACATATCCCATACTTGCTTACAGAGTGATGTTCTGTAGTGCTGTAATACTACAAAATGCAAAATTTTGCTATACAGGTTGGCATTTTTGAACAACGGACAAATTTTTTTTCAGACAAACTGACCTTCTTTTGCGTGAAAAAATAATTTTTGGAACATTTCATCGAATTTGCTCACACTGTCTTTAAATACATAAAAAAGTACAGACAGTAAAAAAATGTGCATATAAATGTATTTAAAATAGTGATATCTCGGGTGTCGTTGGAATAATACTATTGTAAGCTTGAAATTATGCTAAAGTTTATGGATTTCCGAAAATATTAAAATGTTTTATTTGAAAGTTTCTGCTTTTGATCATTTTAACTTTTTTAAATGATTTAAATTTTAAAATACATTTAGTCTGTCTGAATAATAAAAATTTAGGTTTAATAAATTGAGCGAGAAGTGTTTTTCAATGATATTTAGATTAAAAATTCTGTTATTTTTATTATATTTTTTTATTAAAAAGAAAAAATAATAATAATATATAATCGATAAAAAGCTAAATTATAACTTAAATAAATCGATTATTTTATTAAAAATCGAAATAACAAAATTAAATCTTGATGAAATATTGAAAATTTTTATAAAAACATTTTGCTAGGTCAGTAAAACATCTATCTCTGTCGAGATTTTTTCAATATCATTCAATATTTTGTCTAAAATCATTCCTCGTTCTTGAGTCTTCTATTAAATCAAAACCCTTTATTTTTGAAGAAGAATAAACTTTAGCTAAGAAATAATTAACTTTAAATGTCGTTAACACGGTCATTTGTATATTAAACTTCGTATCAATTAGCAAGGTTTATGCACAATTCAACCTATCCCTTATCTTACGACTACAGTGACTGGCAACAAGAACTCTAATACGAAGACAATAATTACAGTGTTTTCTCAATCTCGAGTCTTATTATTGATAATAAGCATCATTAATGAATAAGCTTTAAAATCTTTTTATTGAACATTTAACAGAAAAATAAATTTATAATAAGAAAAAAATTAGTTTGATTTAAGGTTAACTCAGATATGTTTCTACGGTAGAAATATACCTGAGTTAAACGTACCTGAAATAAGTTTAACTATTGTCGTCTTCTAAAATGTTTTTATAGTAATATGATTTATTTTACTGGTGTAATCGACTGAACACAACAAATTATTTATAATTTGTCTAATTTACTGTAATGTATTTTTAGATAATCATCGTATACCTGCTGATGTGGGAGCAAAAGTCCAAACATAAAAAATAGATGTATCCAGGTACAACAGGTGAAAATAAACAAA